ATATCTTAGATGATGTAAATTACAAAATGAAAGTTTCCGAAATGATCTATTCCTTTTGTGAAGATGAATACCCTTCCTCACAAAAAGGTGGGAAATGTTCAAGATTAGAATTCGTGAATTTTCACAACAATTCTGTAGAACAAAAGCACTCGATAAGAAAAATGATAAATTCTCATTAGACAAGAAATTGTGTGAACTTGAAAAACAAATTGATGTCAGTGTACCTGATAAAGAAATAGAAAAAGAGTACACCGACACAAAGGAGAAGTTAGAGAAGATTTATAGACATGAATCTAGAGGAGCTGGAATCAGAGCTCGTATTAGGTGGATGGAAGAAGGAGAGAAAAGTACGAAGTATTTTTTGGGTTTAGAAAAGAGTAATGCAAAGAAAAGGAAATTTCACAATTAAAACGTGGAAATGATAGTCGAATCGTTAGCAAAAATGAAGAGATTATGGAAGAGGTTGTAAAGTACTATTCAAATTTGTATAAAGAAGAAAAGCATGATACCAAGAATATGAGCAATTATATTGGTTTTCAAAACATTAATCAATTATCTAACGAAAACAAAGAATTGTGTGATGGATTAATTACCGAAGAGGAATGTAAACGTGCAGTATTTGCAATGCAGAAAAATAAGACACCGGGATCAGACGGAATCTCTATTGAATTCTATCAGGTGTTTTGGCCACAGGTAAAAACATTGGTGGTTGAAGCGTTGAATGAGTGTTATTCAACAGGAGTTATGTCAGACACACAAAAGAAAGGGCTCATCACATTGTTATTCAAGAAAGGTGATGCTCATGATTTAAAAAACTGGAGACCGATCACTTTGCTTAATTATGACTATAAAATAATGGCAGCGGTTTTAGCTGCAAGGGTACAGAAAGTCATTGGAGAAATTGTACATGAAAATCAGACAGGTTATATAAAAGGTCGTCTGGCAGCCAGTAACGTAAGGTTGACAAAAGACATCATTGAATATTTTACTAAAAATGGTCAAACTGGAGCAATTATGCTAGTAGATTTTTCTAAAGCATTCGATGTCCTAGATATACAATTTCTTAACTCATGCCTAGAAAAGTTTAACTTTGGTGAGTCATTTCGCAAATGGATCTCTGCCCTATATAAAAATATTTCAAGTTCGGTATTGGTTAATGGTTGGATTTCCAAAAGTTTTGACGTTGAAAGAGGGATACGACAAGGATGTCCATTGTCAGCACTGCTGTTTATCTTGGCTGCCGAGCTCATGGCAAACAAAGTGAGAAAAAATAATATTATTAAACCAATAGAAATGGTCGGGTATGACCTTAAACTAAAGTTGTTGCAATATGCCGACGATACATTATTTTTTGTGCCGGATGAAACTTCATTAAATGGAATTTTACATGAACTGAATCAGTTTGGCGAAGTAGCAGGTCCAAGAATAAATAAAGAAAAGACAGCCATGATATGGCTAGGAGACACTGATAGAAGTTGGAATTTAGAGAATCATGATCTGAAATGGTCCCACAAACCTATAAGATACTTAGGTCACTACATATATTTTAATAATAATGAAGCTCTAAAGATGGACTGGGAGCATAAGTTGATAAAATTGAGGAAAATTCTTGATAGCTGGACAAAAAGAAGCTTAACCATTTTTGGAAGAGTCACGGTACTGAAAAGTCTAGCACTCAGCCAAGTTACTCACTTGATCATGGTTGATTCCATCCCTCCAAACTTTTTGAAGTTGATAGAAGGCATTATATTCAAATTTATTTGGAGTGGGAAAACAGAAAAAATCAAAAGGGTTTCTCTTATGGAAGACTACAGTAAAGGTGGTATAAAAATACTTGACATACAAAGGCAATTGTTCAGCTTCCGACTGAAATGGTTAGGTAGATTTTTCAATGAGAGTAATGGAGCATGGAAAACATTTTTTTCTTACTGGTTCAACTTATTGGGAAGCATCAAGCTACTGCTGAACTGCTCTTATAATATAACCACACTTAATGATATTCTAGTTCAAAAGAAAATTCCGTCATTTTACGTAGAAATCTTAAAGGCATGGGAAATGATTAGATACTGCACTACAGTGAAAGATGTTTGTATATCTATACATGAACCAGTTAAAGTTTCAGATCAGATTATTTGGCACAACAAACATGTGGTGTATGATAATCAGTCGCTCTTTTATAAAGGCTGGTATGACAGTGGTCTAGTATATTTAGGAGACCTTTTTACGAGAGATGGCTTTCGGTCAACAGAATATATTAGATCGCAGGTGCATTCCAAACGAAAATGCAATGCAATGTTCGACTATGCAAGACTTAAACGAGCGATACCTCCTGTATGGGTCAATAGTTTAAAAGAAGAATTTATGCATGATTATACTAGACAAGAAAATGAAAACAATGTTCCACATCTGTTGGTGGCAAATAAGGTAAAACATGTTACTGATATAAGTAGCAATCGTTTCTATAAACTCATTCCTTCAAGAACTGTATTAACTAACACATGTTGCCTTTATTGGGAAAAAAAACTTAATGTAGATATTGATTGGTCTAAGGTATTCAAGCGTAATCTTGCTCAAATTAGAGAAAGCAAATTACGAGAGTTTAATTTGAAATTACTGTATAACCTATTGCCAGTAAGAAGTAATCTTTTCAAATGGGGAATATCCAATGACGATGTATGCCCAACATGTAATATAAAAGAGGATATGAATCACGCATTTATAGAATGCAAACTAATTGAGCCCTTCATTAAACATATCAAAGAAATATTAAGAGATATATACAAAGTAAGGATACTGACGCTCAATATCCAACACCTACTCAAAATAGATTGTGAAAGTCATTGTATATTATTCTTTACAATAGCATTTTGGACCATTTATAAATTGATTGTTAAACGAAATATAACTGGGATAGACAAGAGAAAAGTTGCTTCTAAACAAAATCTCCATAGAGAAATTATAAAAGAATGGAAAGTAAATCAAACTTAAAGATGAACAGAAAGCTTTTACCAAAAGAACTGTTGGGTGTTATTTAAGAAAGAAAGAAAAAAAAAAGAAAAAAGAAAAAAAGAAAGGGAATCAAAACTATCAGTATAATTTGTATGTTAATTATGATTCAATTGCTTTGCAAAGCAAAACTTAATTTCAATTCTTTGTTATGACAATAATAATGTTTTTGCGATTATGTAAATTTGATTTGTAGTATTGTATCTTTGAATGTAACCATGTATATATAATCAATAAATCCTCTGATGAGGCAAAGAAAAAAAAAAAAAAATACACATTATGATTCAGCTATTATTAATTGTCTTCTCGATTAGTCACTCTTTCTTTCCCCTCGGTCATCTTCCTTGCTTTCTCACTTTCTCCCCCCCCCCCCCCTCCCCCCTCTCTCTCTCTCTCTCTCTCTCTCTCTCTCTCTTCCCCCCTCTATCTCTCTCTCTCCCTCTCTATTCTCTCCCCTCAATCGGTCATTTTCCTTTCTTTCTTTATTTCTCACTCTCTCTCCACTTTTCCTCTCCCTCTCTCTCTATTCTCTTTCTCTCCCCTCAATCGGTCATCTTCGATCTTTATTTCTTTCTCACTTTCTCTCCCCCTCCCCCCCCCCCCCCTCTCTCTCTCTCTCTGTCTCTCTCTATGTCCATAATTGCCTCCAACCACTCTCTCTCTCTCTCTCCATTCTCTTTTTCTCCCCTAGCTTATCTTTCTTTCTCACTTTCTCTCCCCCTTCCACCCCTCTTTCTCTCTCTCTCTCTCTCTCTCTCTGTCCATGTCTGCCTCCAACCACTCTCTCTCACTCTATTCTCTTTCTCTCCCCTCAATCGGTCATCTTCCTTTCTTTTTCACTTCTCCCTTCTCTTTCTGTCCTGTCCGCCATCTTCCTCTCTTTCTCCCCCTCTCTATCGACTCTCTATCACTCTTTGTCTATCATGTTTGCCTCCAACCACTCTCCCTTCTCTCCCCTCCATCATCTTCCTTTCTTTCTGACTTTCTCTCTCTCTCTAACCCTTTGTCCATGTTTGCCTCCAACCACTATTCCTGTCTCCCTCTTCTTTCTATCCATCTTCACATATTTCTTTTTCCTTTTCTTTCCCTTCTTTTCTTTCCCCCCTCCATCGTATTGCATTATATTACCGACCTACCTTCTCTTTGATGAAATACAAAGTTCAGGTGTAAATTCATTTTTCAATTTATTTCTGTTTACATATTTACATATCACATAGAGCATATTACATGTTTTTTTTATTATCTTTCTATTGCTGGCAAATTATTTTTCAATACATATTTCCTGCATAGATCCATCACATACATTTTTTAAATTACAAATCCAATGAGAATAGTTTTCATTAAACCTATTTAGTATGAAACTGAACAGGACGAGCAAGCTAATAATCTACATTGTAAATGTACATTTAAAACTCAGACTCAACAAGAAAAAGAAATCTCATATAAAGAGTGAAAATGACAGCCAGTAAGCGTAAAACTTTTTATATATATATATGCTTATATGTACAGACAAACTGAATGCAAAGAGCCAGAACATTGTCATCCTGGCTCCCTCTCTCTCTTTTTTTGCATTATTTAAAATAATAATAATAATAACAATCTGTTTTCTTAGTTCACTTCTGGCTTTCAGCTGACAAAACGTAACACTTAAAATCTTACTTAATGGCAAAATAATGCTAGATAAAAGTAAAACGTAGTTTGTCTTCCATTTGTTCAAAAAGTATGGCGAAGAACATATTTCATCATTCGGATGAGGAACACTAGGTTGCATGCCCTAGCTACATGGACCATTCATCAGATCAAGTCCTGGGGGGTGTTTCACAAAGCCTTTTGTCAATGACACAAATCAGTGAAAACTCTGCTGATAACCAATCAGAAGCAAGGATTTCAGTAGCTTATAACAAAAAACTGTCATTTATCACTGATGACAAGTTTTGTGAAACGCCCCCCCCCCCCCCCCCCCCCCCCCCCGGGCTGTTCTTAGTGTGTTCTCCTTTTCTTCCTATGCCTTTGTCATCTTGTATCTGTTCCTTTATTGGTGAAGTATCAGTAAAGCGATGTACCAACTATCTTCTTTACCTAATAGCATCATGATAATAAAACAAGGCTCTAGAGTATTGTGAATGAAACGCTCAATATTATAATAAGATAAACATAAAGAGCATTTTTATTCTACAGGGCATGCAACTAGTTGGCCTTCAACACATTTTAATGTACTAATGTTAGAACACTTCTTGCACATTTCTTATATCATTGAAATAATAAAATTGCAATTAAAAGTTGTGAAATTTAAAATAAATGCCAACAGATTTTAGCTCATCAACATACTATAAATACAAAAACGCTTTTAGTGTAAGTATATTTATTATTTTGTCTATAATGTATGATAATTTTGTCCACTAAATTGTCCAATACATCAATCAAAAAGCAATTTGATAGCTAGTAATATGTGTCCAAAGTTCCAAACGAAAGAAAATATGCACAATTAACCTATTCAGATATTAAAATGAATGACCATAAAAGTATCTAAGGAGAATTAATTAAAATCTAAATAATTTTTCGATTGAAGACTCTAATATTTTTGAATTCTCTATTTCAGTGTTGATGCAAATATTTGATATTTAGTTTATGACCAGTTTAGTCATCGCTTTACGACAATTTTACAAGTCCTCTGTGACTCTGATCAACTCAAAGTATCCCAAATACTTCACATCACTCTGATCAAAATGTCCAAACTTAGCAGCATCTTAATTCACAATAATAAACCAAAGAACGATATATGAGCGTGGATGATTTCAAACAGTTATTGGTTTACCACTAGCATATGTTTTGTATTCTGTTGTGTACATGTTAGGTACAGAGAATGTTTGGATAGGACCAGCTTCTGGTATAACCCAAGGTGTATCGACCGGGCAGGAGAAGAGTTCAGTCATCTTAGGGTCAGACGGTGTCTTGTATGAACTAGTCATTGTAGTCTTCATACCAGCGTGAGGTACACGCTTGAAACGTTCAGGCCAGCGCGCAGGCTCCTTGATAGCTGTCTTGAATACCATTTCATCTACCATAGGAGCTCGCTGGTGAATCTCAGCTCCCTTAGGAAGAGGACTGTTAAAGAGAAGATAAACAAGTTGATAAATTACAACAATCATGATAATGTCTTTACGTAGTAATACTCTACTATTTCATGAAATAGGAAGAGGACTGCTAAAGAGAAGATAAACCAGTTAATAGATTACAACAATCAAGATAATGTCTTACGTAGTAATACTCTAACGTTTCCATGAAATAAGTCATGAATCACGGCCATGATTTATATTCAACTTGTTATCAATAACCAAATATGCCAATTGTTATAAGCTACTAAAGATCCTTACACTTAATTGGCTTAGAGCAGATAAGTCATAGATTTTTGGCAGTTGTTTCATGAAATGGAGCCCAGCTGATCCTACTTTGCTACTAAAACTCTTTTTTAAAGTGTTTGGTTTGAATGGATTTTCTGGACCTATTGCAGCATACGAATGTAATTAAGAAAAGAAATTATACTGGAGACATTCATTCATTCATCTTTCCTCTGTGGGTGGAACACACTAACAACAAGTTGATTTCCAAAGGGGTCAACATTATGGGGTCATGTGACCCAAGGGGTCAACTTTATCTTGATTTCCTTTTTTATGAGGTTTTTTAGCACCTATCATCAGCCGCTTCCAAGAAGGCTGTACCTGCCAATGTACAGTACAGGGGTTATAGTGAGAACTATTTTGTTCTCCCTCAACCACGCCCCCCTTGAGTTTAAACCAAAAAAAAGAGGATTCAAGGGAAAAAATGGCATATAACAACATTCCCCCCTTTTTGAGTAAGAAAAATTGGGAAATAATAGGGAAAAATAGAGAAATTAAGGGGAAAATCAGGACAATAGGGATAAAATTGGGAAAACAAACAACAACAAAAATCGGGTTTAAAAAAATTATTTAAAAAAAATTGGGGGAAAAAAAAGAAGAAAAAAAATCGGAGAGAACTAAAACTTGGGAGAAAAAAAATAATCTGGAAACCGATTTAAATCAGGTAATTATCAGGCCTGTCTATGAGACGGGAAGACAAGAGAGATTTGTAATACTTACTTGTGCTTGGTTCCATGGCCCCATGCCTGCGTGTAATCTTCACATCGCCAGTAGGTGGCAGCATCTTTCTTTGGGTAGTCGTCCAGCTCATGACGAGTGAAACGTTTGTGCACGTGATGAGAGGTTGGTACGTAGATATCAAGAAGCTGCAGAGCGCCATCATCTCGCACAAGAGTCGGCTTGTATTTAGGCACACTGTCCTGTAAGGCCAAAGATACAGTAATCAATTGTCATCTATTGTGATCATATTTAAACTCAACTTTAAATCAACTTCAAAAAGCACTTTGATAATAAATGACCACGTTTGCTAAGCAAACTTGTAACATGTATAGGTACATCTCACATACAAAAATAAATAAGATATTTTCCTCAAAGATATAGCGTATACATGATAGATTATTGCTAAAAATAGAAAAGGTAAGTGTACATCACAGTAAAAAGGCCTTGAATAGGAAGAATTATATTGTAATGCCCTGAACTTGCACTATGTATTCCCTATAGTTAAACTTGTGATCATCGATATTTGGAAGTTCAATCACTGAATATGGATTTGTCTGAAAATGTCAAACTTTTGAACACACATTACAATTCAAACCAAATCAAAATGTTGCTGACTCAATATATTACATTTTGCTGTAAGGAATAGCATGCAACTTCTTTTAGTCTGATCCGAGCCCATTGCATAAACCGTTCCACTGCATGATGGTAACTTTGACATCAATCCCCGGTGTGTTGGCTCAGTCAGTAGAGCGTCCGCCTCACAACCTGGAGGTCGTGGGTTTGAACCCCGGCCGCGTCATACCAAAAGACTTTAAAAGACGGGAGTTGCTGCACCTTGTTTGGCGTTCAACAATAAGGGATAGAGCAACGTTGATCAATAGGGCAAAAAGAATTTCCATTTTCGGTTTAACTTATTAAAATTTGGAGTGGACTTTAACAAATTATTATTAATATCAACTACCATGGCAACATCACTCAACAGCCATTCAAATTAAGATTTTTATGGAAATACCATGAATGGCAGAGTTACCATCAATGCTACATTGTATACAACCAGGCTCGATCAGACTAAAGGATTTGGTTGAGTTTGCTATAATAAATCATAGTTATGGTAGTTCCTTACCCTGACTGGTGCAGGACAATTCTGATGATGAGTTTGAAGATCAGATGGCTGTGGATTGCCACTGAGCCTGTTGTCAAAGTCTACACCCATCTGCATTTGGTCTCCTTTGTATTGTGCTTGCACCTCACTCTCCTGGTTGCCCATGGTTAGAGGCTTCCTCCAGCCTCTTTGCTGCAGCTGATAGGGAGAGGGTAAGAAGAACAAAACAAATACTTGATTAAATCAAATCAGTTCATGTATTGTCAGATCATACAGAGACAATGAAATCTGCATCTACATGTACTTATCCAACATTTTTGTAAGTTAACCCCTTCTAATTTTTGCCCCCCACCAAATTTTACTTCATGAAAAAAAAAACATAAAAAGTCCAAGCACTACATTGGATTCACTATAGAACCAACCAAAAATTGCCTTCAAATACATGCAGATCTTACATAATAATATTAATATCAACTTCATCATTTACCATTGAAACAAGATTAAAGACTTAGGCCTAGAAGATCTATATTTTACAAGTTTCCAATATATTGCAGTGTATAAAATGTCAAAGGAAATGTTTAGGTACCCCCCCCCCCTTGTACCCACCGCAAACTGACCAATAGTGAAATGGTATACTAAATCAACATAGAGGTCGAGACACAATTTGGAATTTCAAGAACAAAAAAGAAAATTTAGGCCAAACTATTCTTCTTGCCTTATTAAACATTATCTGAATTCATAATCTTACCTTTTCTCTTAAGTCCTTATTGTAGTGCATATTCCAGTGACCTGGGGCCTTATGATGCTGAGGATTAGCCATTAATCCCCCATGATATTTGTAATCATGCGCCCCACCTGTCGTTGTTTGGAACGGCTTGATGATTTCATCTTGTTTGGCAAGCTGTGGTGGCAGAGGGTTGTTGATGGTAGTCTGCAAAGTTTAAAGAGAAAATAGCCCCATTAATCTACAAATGTTATGACTAGACAGTAGACTTCTAGTCTATACTAGCTACGTCCATTCAAGCAATTCATGACACTCCTTGTAGTTACTCGCCTCACCTACCATCCCAGATAGCTTTCTGAGCTGAGTGAGCTGCCAAAGTGATTACCCAACCAAGTACCAAGTCCAACATGTACTTGTAAGTTGTAGTTGCACTTGTAGAATGAGTTGAAATAGAGTCAAGTACATGTAGAACTATTGTCTTGATGTAGATTTTATGTCATTGTCAATCAGTGTCGATATGTTGTGTGTCCAGAAACCAGACAGGTTGGTTATCTAATTGACAGTTGATTTCAAACAGCTAGGATAATTAATACAATCAGTACAAGAATACACCCGACGGTGGCCTGTAGTTGTACTTAGACCTAGTCTATAGCGAAGAAGAAGAAGAAGAATTATTTTTAAGGAGTTCAACAGTGATGCCTCATCAATGAGTCTTTAAATATGTGGGCCTAGATCTAGATGTATAATCTAGTCAATGGTTATAATATAGAGTCTAGTGTCATTTTATGCTTATTTTCCCTTAGATCCAATTGGAAATGTGACAGCTTTCTTTTTGTTAAGTATCCGCAGACACACCACCATGCATGAATTGATAGCCCCCGGCCCCGTCCTTAAAAAAAATTGAGAAATATGACAAACCTTAAAATCTGATGCTGGAAAATAGTATTCCGGTCGGTAATCCAAGCCCCGACCTGAGCTAGTCTGATGAAGGTCGAATCTCCTATCTGCTCCCGTCATGATGTTTCACAAAATTTTGCTTGAATCCTTCAAACCGGTTAAAAATGTTGCTTATGAAACTGTTTTTCTCTCACGTCTCGTCTCCCTGCGCGTAAGGCAAGCCAATAATAACTGTAGACTGCACAGTACAGGTCTGTAGTACTCTGCTCTGGTTGTATTGTGTACGTTATCAACATTAGTCGCGTTGCCAGGTAATACGATCGACTTCCGCACCTCATTCAACGCGATGCGTAAATAAACAAGCACGCCCTCTCTAGCTCTTTGTAGGCGTTACGATGTTTAATCGTAAATGCAATTACACTGGGGTTTCCCCTAAATTGATTTGAATTTAATTATATAAGGCTTAACTATCTACTGTATCAAAGCTACATCCTCACACGAAGGGTTCAATTACATAGATAAGCGTATTTAGGGCGGGCGGGGGGGGGGGGGGGGGTCAAGGGGATAGTTTTCCCCTGACAAACATGCCAATCTCTCTGTGAACTATATCTCTCTCGCTATATATCCTCTCTCTCGCTATATATCCTCTCTCTCTCTCTCTCTCTCTCTCTCTCTCTCTCTCTCTTTGTCTCTCTAAACATGATCTCCTCTCCAAAACAAAGTCCTTAGAAGCATGCAATGTTAAAGTAATTACCTCTTCCCCATCTCAGTTTCTCTCTCCATCTCCCTCTCTCTCTCCTTCCCCCTCCATCTCCCCTTCTCTCTTTGTATGAATCTTAACTGTGGTCTCCTACTTTTTCCTTTGTAAGAAACATGCTAAACACACATAATATCCATTCTCCCCCTTATTATTATTTTTTTTTTATGTAGATTATGTTTTCATGATGGTTTGGCGCCAATTAATATTAGTTTTTGCTTGTATTTTAACTAGAAACATGTTTTGTCAAACTTACATGTTACACATTACATTTATTTGTATGATTTTTCTTTGTATTGATGTGAAAAAGTGGAAATAAAACAAACAACAAACATTAAATATCTCTTTCTCTACCCTTTATCCAAATCTCTCGTTTTGAACTCTTAGACTCTCTCTCTCTCTTTCTCTTGATGTCCCTCTTTCTCGCCTTTACTGGCTTCCACCATCCCTCACTCTCTCTCTCTCTCTCTCTCTCTCTTAAACTCATCTCTATAAAATTCTCTCTTTCCAAATCGTCTCTCTTCTGGATCAAATCATATTCCCCCTGGATGCAATCAAGTAAATCTTTGAAAGTTTGAACTGATAACTTTCCTCAAACCCATCTCAGTTTCTCTACCCCCTCCCTCTTTATCTCCTCTCTTTCTCTCTGTGTCTCTCTCTTTTCAATCCTTTCTCTCTCTCACTCTGAGCTCTGTTTTTCTTCCTCCCCTCTCTTTCTCAACACAACATACCCCCACCCTCTTTATCTCTACAAAATGATCCTTTCTCTTCAGTCTTCACAAAGACAACGTCCGTTCATGCAATGAAGTAAATTATTGAATAGATACAAAGTAAACAATTGTTATATTTCATAACCGTTAAATTTTATTTTACCATGATGTTTATTAATATTTCTATTACACTTTCTTACCAATCCTATTCCCCCCCCCCCCCCCCCGAGTTGATATAACTCTGCATATACAATATCAATGGCGACAACTATCCAACTTGGGTTTGCCTTAACCCTGCCACACCGCGCTATCTACTGTATCTTCATCACCACGATGGCAAGGTGTGGCCTTCAAGGTAGGCCTGTATTCAATGTCAGAACATGGCACAATACGGGTAATGTCCAAATACGCTGTAGTTATAAATGTCCATCTTGGTGTGTAAACATTTTCATTTCTTTCTCTTTCGGAACACTGTAGATTAATGAAAACATTCATGGTGGATAGTAGTGATTATGAAATAACTTAGGCAGGGGTGTGTTCAAGATGCTGTTCTTACCATCTTGTTATTGATAGTCAAACCTGCTTTAGTGACCACCTGTCTACAAAGACCACATTTTTTGTTTCCCTTGAAAATGGTTTCTCATTGAAACATGAATTAAAGGAACCTGTCTACAAAGACCACTTTTTGTGTTTCCCTTGGGCGGTCGCTATAGACAGGTTTGACTGTATCATGCAAACAGGAAAATGACACCATTTACAACTTTAGGCTGAGAAGATAGGAGTGCATTAAAACTGGTTGGACATTTTCTAAAAAATAATTTTTAAAAAATTAATATTTTTTCTAACTGTAGGGTTGTTAAATATCATGAACAGCAAAGGTTGGTACTGTACTACATATAAATTCAGCCCTTCAATTCACTGTAATCTTCTCAACCTAAAGAATCTACGCTTGACTGTATATAAATCAAGATGGATGAACGCTCATGAAGTTTGAACCAATCTTTAACAAAAAGTTTTAAGACTTGGAAACACAGTGTCAATATAATGTACAGCATTCACTGCGCACATACACTTAAATAAAAAATCCACAGAGTTGCAAATACTCCTCACTCTTGTATTGTAATGTGATGGTTTGTCCTACATTTTCTGATGAGAACCTTTCACATATTGTTATATTTTCCTGATTATCCATCCTAAATCTTCCAGAGTTTTCTTCTGAACATCTTCGCGCACCTCCACACCAGACACAATAGAGGGCTTTCTTTCTCTTATCAGCTCAGATTGAATAATGAGTGTTTTCTCAGAAGTCTAGTTTTCTCTCTGCCAGTGATGATGCACAGTTGAATGCTGATGCGGAGGCACTCCGAGCAGCTTTCTTAGCAGGATCTTCTTGAGATCTACTTACAGTCTCTGACAGGTCTGGGGGAAGATGAAGCTTCTGAAAAATAGAAAAAGGAAAATGAAGGAATTACATATTTTTTAATCATACAGCTAGACTTGCACCCTGCATAGATAGGTGTCTAATACTTACAACCTTAAATGGGCAATTCTGGTTTTGAAATAACTTGTATTCATTAAAGTGAAAGATGTGATAGAGAGAAGGTGGGAGAGAGAGAGAGAGAGAGAGAGAGAGATCGAAGAGAAGGAGAGGGAGAAGGAGGATGCAATCATACACAAAGAAAGAAAAAAGAGATATACATGGAAACCTCACAAAGTATTCATGGTTTATTGAGAAAGGAAAACAACGGAGAGAAAAACAATATAAAATAAAGGTTCCTCACCTCAATGGTAAGTTTCTTCCTGCGGAGCTTAAAAGCTAGATCCATAGAGTCAGGAAGATAACTAGCAAGAGTATTCAGTCTCGGCAGTCTATGTATGTGAAATAAACCTGAAAAAACAAGATTTAAACAAAAGCACAAATTTATTGCAATGTTTATGTAGGTTCTTATGCAAAGTGATACATGTACAAATCCAACTTAATTGGCAATTCCTCTGTGTATACATTAATAATGTTGGTTTCTTCCTCCAAATGACAAAATCTTTGAAAGACCGACCATTTTCAAATAATTTCTTATTAGAGGACAAAATCATTCTCTAAGACTTTCTAATTAGGGTACAGCCGGAGTGCAGGAAGGGAAAGGGCTATATTTGAAGGCCCTTGATGCAGCCATACTGCGTGATAGGACAAGGGTATGGAGTTCAATTACTCTAAATCTCTGTGTATAAGACGTACCTGTGTATGAGATGCGCCTGTGTATGAGATGCGCCTGTGTATAAGACGTACCTGTGTATGAGACGCGCCTGTGTATAAGACGCACCCTCTTATACGTCTTATACAAAAATATTTACGGTATACTAATTGCGTTATGGAGACGGACATCAGTCACCCATTGCAGATGTCCGTCTCCATATCGCGATTAGTATACTTGCCATGAAGCCCCACACATATTGGATAGGCTAAAGCTTACCATGATACTCTTTATAAGCAGGATTAGTCTCCTTTTCAGACCCTGCAAATGATTCCAGTTTGAATGCTGCATCACATAATCTCTCTATCCTCCTTACTCTGCTCTCATCCTGTAAAACATGGTAGAAACAAAAACTGCTAACTACTAGTATTCCATTGGGCAATCTACCCCAACCACCCTAACATAGGCAAAAGGTGTGTGGGTATAGTGAGAACACAGACAGCTAGTGATCATACCTGGTATAGGTGTGTTGGTATAGTGAGAACACAGACAGCTAGTGATCATACCTGGTATAGGTGTGTGGGTATAGTGAGAACACAGACAGCTAGTGATCATACCTGGTATGGGTGTGTTGGTATAGTGAGAACACAGACAGCTAGTGATCATACCTGGTATAGGTGTGTTGGTATAGTGAGAACACAGACAGCTAGTGATCATACCTGGTATAGGTGTGTGGGTATAGTGAGAACACAGACAGCTAGTGATCATACCTGGTATAGGTGTGTTGGTATAGTGAGAACACAGACAGCTAGTGATCATACCTGGTATAGGTGTGTTGGTATAGTGAGAACACAGACAGCTAGTGATCATACCTGGTATAGGTGTGTTGGTATAGTGAGAACACAGACAGCTAGTGATCATACCTGGTATAGGTGTGTGGGTATAGTGAGAACACAGACAGCTAGTGATCATACCTGGTATGGGTGTGTTGGTATAGTGAGAACACAGACAGCTAGTGATCATACCTGGTATAGGTGTGTTGGTATAGTGAGAACACAGACAGCTAGTGATCATACCTGGTATAGGTGTGTGGGTATAGTGAGAACACAGACAGCTAGTGATCATACCTGGTATAGGTGTGTTGGTATAGTGAGAACACAGACAGCTAGTGATCATACCTGGTATAGGTGTGTTGGTATAGTGAGAACACAGACAGCTAGTGATCATACCTGGTATGGGTGTGTGGGTATAGTGAGAACACAGACAGCTAGTGATCATACCTGGTATAGGTGTGTTGGTATAGTGAGAACACAGACAGCTAGTGATCATACCTGGTATGGGTGTGTGGGTATAGTGAGAACACAGACAGCTAGTGATCATACCTGGTATAGGTGTGTGGGTATAGTGAGAACACAGACAGCTAGTGATCATACCTGGTATGGGTGTGTGGGTATAGTGAGAACACAGACAGCTAGTGATCATACCTGGTATAGGTGTGTTGGTATAGTGAGAACACAGACAGCTAGTGATCATACCTGGTATGGGTGTGTGGGTATAGTGAGAACACAGACAGCTAGTGATCATACCTGGTATGGGTGTGTGGGTATAGTGAGAACACAGACAGCTAGTGATCATACCTGGTATGGGTGTGTGGGTATAGTGAGAACACAGACAGCTAGTGATCATACCTGGTATGGGTGTGTGGGTATAGTGAGAACACAGACAGCTAGTGATCATACCTGGTATGGGTGTGTTGGTATAGTGAGAACACAGACAGCTAGTGATCATACCTGGTATGGGTGTGTGGGTATAGTGAGAACACAGACAGCTAGTGATCATACCTGGTATAGGTGTGTTGGTATAGTGAGAACACAGACAGCTAGTGATCATACCTGGTATGGATGTGTGGGTATAGTGAGAACACAGACAGCTAGTGATCATACCTGGTATGGGTGTGTGGGTATAGTGAGAACACAGACAGCTAGTGATCATACCTGGTATGGGTGTGTGGGTATAGTGAGAACACAGACAGCTAGTGATCATACCTGGTATGGGTGTGTTGGTATAGTGAGAACACAGACAGCTAGTGATCATACCTGGTATGGGTGTGTGGGTATAGTGAGAACACAGACAGCTAGTGATCATACCTGGTATAGGTGTGTGGGTATAGTGAGAACACAGACAGCTAGTGATCATACCTGGTATGGGTGTGTGGGTATAGTGAGAACACAGACAGCTAGTGATCATACCTGGTATGGGTGTGTGGGTATAGTGAGAACACAGACAGCTAGTGATCATACCTGGTATAGGTGTGTTGGTATAGTGAGAACACAGACAGCTAGTGATCATACCTGGTATGGATGTGTTGGTATAGTGAGAACACAGACAGCTAGTGATCATACCTGGTATGGGTGTGTGGGTATAGTGAGAACACAGACAGCTAGTGATCATACCTGGTATAGGTGTGTTGGTATAGTGAGAACACAGACAGCTAGTGATCATACCTGGTATGGGTGTGTGGGTATAGTGAGAACACAGACAGCTAGTGATCATACCTGGTATAGGTGTGTGGGTATAGTGAGAACACAGACAGCTAGTGATCATACCTGGTATGGGTGTGTGGGTATAGTGAGAACACAGACAGCTAGTGATCATACCTGGTATGGGTGTGTTGGTATAGTGAGAACACAGACAGCTAGTGATCATACCTGGTATGGGTGTGTGGGTATAGTGAGAACACAGACAGCTAGTGATCATACCTGGTATAGGTGTGTGGGTATAGTGAGAACACAGACAGCTAGTGATCATACCTGGTATGGGTGTGTGGGTATAGTGAGAACACAGACAGCTAGTGATCATACCTGGTATAGGTGTGTGGGTATAGTGAGAACACAGACAGCTAGTGATCATACCTGGTATAGGTGTGTGGGGATGGTGAGAACACAGACCGCCAATGAGACTCTTAACAGTCCTCTGAGTGCGTGTAGGAACCTACATAGAGACACACTGGAATGCTCATCAGAGTTCTCTTCCCACAGAGGTGAAGCTAGAGAATAGATTCCTAGTCTCAGGACATTGCGATTCGTCAAACCCTAGGGAATAAAATGAAACAAAAATCTTTTGTTACAATTGTAAATAAAAGTAAAAAATATATAATATAACTACAATTTCTATAACAAATACACCACAGTAAGATATACATCTTCAATATCACAAAGATACTAATGAATAGAATAATGCAACATGCACAGAAAAGGAGAAGTTTTGCAGATGAACAGATTCAAGATCCATTTATTATTGTGTTTGTATTTAATAACATTTATTTCCTTCTCAACAGTACAATATGAAACACAATGTATATATAAATTATATACGTAACAATGATTTCAACATAGGGTATACAGTAAATAATTAACAAAATATGGTTTATAACAAGATAGAATAATAGAAACTCATGACTGCATTCAGAAGAAGAAAAAAAAACCTGAACAGAGAATGAATGAAGAACCAATATGGCGCTTGCTATTTTGAATTTACGAAGGAAATAATGCTTTGTAACATAAAAATCTAATCCTAAATGACCAATAACCTTACTTGTGATTTAGCAGCATCGGCAGTAAGACTATAACCACCATCAGTAATCTCTTTCTCCACAGCACTGAACAATCTCAGATAGGCTGGATTCGTACTAAGGAAAAAACATGACATCAAATTATGAATGAATTTAATGATTGTTATAGGGCAGTGACTTGTCCTTCATACGCTAGATTGGTAAAAAAAAAAAAAAAAAAACAACAATAAAGGCATTGACTAGTGTCTTATGCGCTAGATTGGTACTGTACTACAAAAAAACAAACCCACATAATATTTGTGAATGAATCTCACGATTATTATACAGCAGTAACCGGTTCTCACAGACTAGATTCGTACTTAAAGGTAATACAAAGTTTTGGTATGGGGTCATGAATTTGGTTCAAATGAACATATTGGAAGCATATATGAGCCTACAATATTCGGTGATCGTTGTCGCGGTTGAAATCGAGTCTAAAGTTATGAAATTGTAAATAATAAACTCTTTATGTTGTATAGCTCCCTCTCAAGGTCAAGATATTAATTAAGCTATAAAACAATGTTTCTTGACTAAAATCGACCGATTTGCTATTCCCGTTTGGAAATTATATAGCAGAACTACATATTCTGTGATTTTCATGGTCGCAGCTACCATTGTACGGCCGTAGGTGCTATTTGAAATTTATCAAAATTTACCGGGAGCACCGGTAAATTTTTATATTCAATTTTTCTCAAAAGCAGAAGTGTTTTAGGGGCTAATTTTTTTAGTGCCCTTAATTCATCCACAGGGACATCCAAATATATCAAAATTGTAAAGAATCACTATCCACCAAATTTTCGAGATTTCCCAAAACTTTGTTTTACCTTTAAGCATAACATCAAATTATTATACAATTAGTCCAGTCTTTATTTCCTCATTTTTAAACCAGACTTCAGATGTTCAGAACCAAACCAAAACACAAGATTTATAAAACGATAATCTTTTCTTGATACTTTAAAGAGAGCCCCGTATACCTTTTTTAAAAGAATGTTTATATATTTATCAACTTTATAAAGCACATAGAGAATTAATCTGTAATTATTGTGCACTAAACAGTATAATAATCATTATATTTTTGATCAATGAAATCCTGTTCAGTGGTTGGTCAACATAGAAATGTGACCAAACAAAACATTGCTATGATGTAACTGTGACGTCATCCATGGTATAGTGCACTATACCATGGATGACATCATATATATGCCATCGATCAAGATCAATGTGCTATCGGTCGCGGTACTGTCGTCTGTGCTGCTCTCACTGCACTCTACACTACTTCATTATTAGTAGTAATATCATTATCATTTTTATGAAGGTTGGTTTGAAAAAACTAAACAAATATATCATGCACTATTTCAAGCCACTAGTGAAACTATGGATTCCTCTGAGACAGACATAGCACTATATTCTTCAGGGCTATGCCCCTCAAAAAATAGTGCTATTCCTGCCACCTCAATCCATAATTTCAATTATATACCTCATTTTAAGATTCTTTACTAATCCTGTCTTCTGATTGGTTGAAAATGCAGTCATGTTCTTAACCATGCCCGCTAATTGAAATTCATAGTCATTTTTCCCGGCTCTACCGGTTTATATCCATTTTTCATAGCACTTTTTCCATGGCTGTGAAACGTGACGTCATTTTGCTGCGATCCCCATTTTGGTTTACGTGTTACCGTATAAGTTTCTTTTGTGCGATGACCGATGCGCAATACCGTTAACGGTGTTTGAGTGCAATTCGATTTTGGTCGCTGCATTCAGGCGACGAATCTACCAATCCACGCAGCGCAGACGACCGATCGCCATTTTGTGTACTAGTCTCGATCGTAAACATCTACAACAAGTAGACTAGACGCACAGTCTGTGTAAATATGTTGCGAATTTGTGAATTTATAAAGTTACTGTTCATGTTCTACTGGAGCACAGCTTGTTGGTGATATCATCCTGTACAAAAGTTACTGTTCGTGTAAACGTGTTTGGTATTCCCTGTTCTACTGGAGCACAGCTTGTTGGATTTCATACTGTACACAAGTTATTGTTGGTGTTAATATTCATTACTTCAAAGAGATGGAAACCTAAATGGGTGAGTCAACATTTTCCTTTTTTTCGGTATATAAAATATATATTGACTGCTTTTAATATTCGAGGCATAGTTGTTTCTATAGGGTCTCGGGAAACTCACAACCTGCTATGACCCCGCGGCGCAAGCGCCTTGGGGTCATAGCAATGTGAGTTTCCCTTGACCCTATAGAAACCACTATGCCTCTCAAAGCAGTCAATATATCCTTACTAAAGCCTCTCAGTGCATGGTATATTTGTTTACTATTATCATGAATATCTTACCTGTTATCTTGAAGAGGAATATTTTGTGATTGAAGATGGAAGCATGTTGTGTTGACAGAGCTTAGTCTAGGTTCACCCATAACCCGGTTTAGATCATAGCCGTGACCAAACTGATGTGCAGATTCAGATACCTAAGAAAGAGTAGAAAAACAGTGTGTGTGAAGGTGTGGTGGTAAAGTGGTCATTCACTTGACACTCAATCCTACAGTTAAGGGTTCAAATCCCAGCTCAGCACGAACATTCTTTGGCAAGACATTACTCCACATTTGCCAGGCTCCACCCAAGTTTAAATTGAATGATACCCAAATGCTGGGCCATGATCGGGTATGTATGCTGGAGGGCCAAGAGCATTCACAGCGCGATGGATTTCAAGATAAAGAGGGAGAGAAAGCTGAACAGACTGCTTGATTGATTGATGCAGATGGGTAAATAGATATATGGAGAGAGAGAGAGAGAGAGAGAGAGAGAGAGAGAGAGAGCGCGCGAGAGGGAGGGAGAAAGATAGAGAGGGAGAGAGATAAATAGAGAGAGAGATAGATAGATAGATAGAGAGATAGATAGATAGAGATAGATAGATAGAGAGAGATAGATAGATAGAGAGAGAGAGAGAGAGAGAGAGAGGGAGAGAGATAGATAGAGATAGATAGATAGAGAGAGATAGAGAGAGAGAGAGAGATAGATAGAGAGAGAGATAGATAGAGAGATAGAAAGATAGAGATAGATAGATAGAGAGAGATAGATAGATAGAGAGAGAGAGAGATAGATAGAGAAAGAGATAGATAGATAGAGAGAGAGATAGATAGATAGAGATAGAGAGATAGAGAGAGATAGATAGAGAGAGAGAGAGAGAGAGATAGAGAGGGAGAGAGATAGAGAGGGAGAGAGATAGATAGAGAGATAGAGAGAGAGAGGGAGAGAGATAGATAGATAGAATCTTGAATCTTGAATTTGTTGCACCCAAAAAGCTACGTTGACAGCTGTCCAGGGTGGAGTAATAGTGGTAGTGTGTGAGTGCGTGATGCGTGCAAGTAAAAGAAGCCAGACATTGTGCAGAAGAAGACATGTAAACTGGAGAGTACGAAGAAGTAGGGTGCATCTGGTGAGAACATTAATGTCGGCTTCATGGCTTCCCTCCCTACACGGCCCAGGTGGGCATGCCCATCATGGCTATGATGGACGGGACTGCGGAGGTCTGAAAACCAGCAATCGAGCTAGATGTTACAGCTACTGCTGGGAGTCTGTTCCATATGGGAATAACTCGGGGGAAAAAACTGTACTTATAGCAGTCCACTCTGCAGGGAAGCTGGTGAAAAATAAATGGGTGTGTGGTGTGTCCACGTAGCTCTCTCTGGTGCAAGACTGGGTGAATACCAGGTGTAAGTGGGATGTTCACCATGTTCTTGTGGATTTTGAAGAACATTCCACACTGGGCAAAGATTCTTCGTTGTTCAAGAGTATTCCAGGCCAGTAGAGAAATCATGTCTGAGACGCTCGATGTCCTTCTAAAGTCTTGGGTGACAAAACGTGCAGCTTGCCTCTGGATTCCTTCCAGCAAGTTGGTATTACGCCGTTTATGTGGATTCCATGCACATGAGGAGTATTCAAGTTGAGGCCGAACTAGGGTCTTGTAGGCGGTTTCCCTCACTTTCTTGCTGCAGGAGCCGAGATTTCTCCTCAAGATGCCCATGGTTCTGGATGCCTTAGAGCGGAGTGCTTCGACGTGGGTGTTCCAGCGTAGATCATCTCGAACTGTTACACCAAGGTACTTGTATGTCTTCTTCTGTGGGAGTACTTGCTCATTCACTGAGTAGTTGAACAGGTATGGCCGGCGCTTCAAGGTGATGGAGAGGTGAGCACATTTAGAGATGTTAAAGGCCATGCTCCAAGTTTCAGCCCACTGAAACACCTTCTGAAGGTCTTCTTGGAGTCTTTCCTGGTCATCAGGGCCACAGATTGTACGGTAGATGACACTGTCGTCAGCAAACAGTCTCATGGAGGAATTGACATTAGTTGTGATGTCATTGACATATAGCAGAAACAGCATAGGGCCGAGGACGGATCCCTGCGGAACCCCTGATAGTACGCTAGAGGGCGGAGAGGCAGAGCCATTGACAGACACTTGTTGAGACCTGCCAGTTAAGAATGCACTGATCCAGTGATGGGTGTTTCCCTGGATTCCGTAGTACGTCAGCTTATGTAGGAGTTTGCGATGTGAAACACGGTCAAACGCCTTGCTAAAGTCCAAAAAGAGCACATCAGTTTGGCGTTTCTCGTTTATTGCTTGAGACCAGTCATCTACAGCCTCGACAAGTTGTGTCTCGCAAGATAATTTCTCCCGAAATCCATGTTGTTTGTCAATAAGGACGTCGTTGTCTGCTAGGTGTTTCGATACATGACTCAGAACAACATGTTCCATCACCTTACAACAGATGCATGTGAGGCTAATCGGCCTGTAGTTGGCAGGATCACTTTTAACACCACTCTTGTATATGCCAGCAACACGAGCTCTTTTCCAGTCTCTGGGAAGTATGCCAGTATGGTACGATTGTTGGAAAAGATGCGTCAGGATTGGTGAAAGATCTTCAGCATATTCCTTCAAAACTCGTGATGTTATTTCATCTGGACCGCTTGCTTTGTTTGCCTTAAGTTGTTTAAGCTGCTTCACTATTCCATTTAGGCCTATTTCTAAGTCAGCAATGGGAGTGTAGGGGCATGGTCCCATGCAGGGGAGTGGGTTTGCATCTGCATCATGCTGGGTGAAAACAGATGAGAATTGTCTGTTGAGAGCATCAGCTTTCTGATCACTTGTGAAGTACAGTGTCTCGTCCTTCTTCAGAGTGGGTATTCCAACAGAGTCTCGTTTCTGAACTTCTTACCATCTGTTTTCAGGCTGTCGCCTATAACATTATTCATGTAGTCATGGTGAGATTTTCTCAGTGATTTCTGTACCTCTCTCCTTTTCTTCTTGTAGCTCTCCCAAGTTTCATCGGTCCTTTCTCGTATAGCTTTCCCATACAGCTTGTCTCTCTTACGCATTTGTTGTATGATGCTTCTAGAGACGTATGGGTGACTTGGCTTCCCATTCCAGGTCTTAGATGGTATTTGCCGCATGACAGAACCTATGGTTGATTTGAAGAAATTCCAGTTTTCTTCTACAGTTCTCTCATTTGGGTTATCTTCGAAGTACTTTTCTGTTGCTTCAGTAATACACTTCTGCACTTCGGTTTTATTTGCTTTGTCATACTTGTAGATTGTTCGTGGTGACTTTCTTTCAAGTTTAGGAGGTAAACTAATGCTATACACAAGTATACTGTGGTCACTAATTCCTGATGCAGTCTGAACATCTCCAATGAGTTCATCATTTGATGTGAGTGTCAGGTCCAGCACATTTCCAGAGGTAGGCCTGGTGATATGTTTCACTACTTGTGTGAGGTTAAAGTAGTTTAGAAGTTCAATGAAGCTGTTATGCAGAGACTGGGTTCTTGGACTTGAAGTGGTTGTAGAATTCCAATCAATATCGGGTAGGTTGAAATCCCCTCCAAGAATGACATTTGGAACTCTCTTTGTGTGTTTTGAGAAGATTCCATTTATGCTATCATGTAGTTGATCTAGTGCATCATTACTGGCATTCGGGGGCCTGTAGTAGCTTCCGATGTATAGAGTAGTACCGCCCTTGAACTGTACCGATGCCCAGATGATTTCGGCTAGGGCCAAATTAATCTCTGGTTTTTCTACAACTGCTATGTCATTTTTAAATGCTAAGAAGACACCTCCTCCATTTGCATTTCGGTCTTTTCTCAACACGTTGTAGTCATCAGAAAACACAGAGTATGTTGGTATTGTAGAATCTAACTTGGATTCACAACCGATGATGATGTCTGGCTTGTGATGTTCTACAGCTGCAGAGAAGTCTTGTCGTTTCTTTTGTCCCTTTAGCCCGTTGCAATTAAGTTGCATGACCTTCAGGCGCTTGGGTCTCAGCGTTCTTGTTCTTTGGTGTGAGGCAGGCGGTAAGGGGTGGTCTTCTTCTTCATCTTGTGAGCTTGGAGTGAGCTGGTCATCACTTAGCACATCAAAACTATTATTCAATTCCAATGTTTGCTCATTAAAGAAAGAGTCAGAGAGGTTGACATGGCGACATTTCACGAGATAGATAGATAGAGAGAGATAGATAGATAGAGAGAGAGAGAGAGAGGGAGAGAGATAGATAGAGAGAGAGAGAGAGATGGAGAGAGAGAGAGAGGGAGATAGATAGATAGAGAGAGAGATAGATAGAGAGAGAGAGAGATAGATAGATACAGATAGATAGAGAGAGATAGATAGATAGATAGAGAGAGATAGATAGATAGATAGATAGAGAAAGAGAGAGAGAGGACTCACCTGATGTTGAGGAAGATGTTGATACCTCCATGCTATCTTCATCTTATCTTCATCTGTTTCTTGAGAAGTCTTTCTATCTTTATCATCATCTACAGGATGAGGCAAAGCCTGAAAAACAACATCAATAAACAACATTGCAAACTCTTTCATCATCTAGAACATTAAGCAATTAAATGTCATTTAAAATATATACACTTTTTTTCCAAGGGATGCATAAGTTACCTACAATGCAAGCCGGTTGAAGTATAAAGATAATAATAATAATAAAATCTATTCTAGTTTTTTTCAGGACCGCAGGCCCATCTCTAAGCACGTTACAGATATATTACCCCGGTCATCAGATTCAGGCTTACCCACACACAATGCATGCACATTCTCCACTCCCTGGGGAGAATTACAGCCAGGCGTCATTTTTACAAGCGCACGCTTGCTAATCTAAGCACATTAGGTTTCGCATCCTACCGGGTACCCATTTAACACCTGGGACCTTGTGATGCACAGTCCGGTGACATATCAACTCGACCACGACCTCTACAGATAGGGATGTCCATGCTGTTTTGCCCCTTATACATCTAAATTTCTCAATATATCTGATGAATGTATCAAGTTGATAGTCCTAATATAGCTTGAATAAGACAAAACAACAAATAAAATGATATTATTTTTGTGTCAATCAGTGTTCACAAAATAATACAATTCAATAATACTTGGTAATGTAGGGGATATATTGCAGACGTGCCTGGTAATAACAAGACTGAATGAAGGTTATGGAATTAGTCCCCTCCCAAAATGCACTAAATAGGAATGAACTAGTTGCCATCTTCCCACTTCCTAATCAAATTCAAATACTTGTGGAATAAAATGTCTAAAATTACTCAAATTTCATAATGGATTTCTTAGGATAAGTACCGGTACATTTCAATAATGACACTTTCTCTCTATCTGCATGTACATTGTACATAACATGTCATTTTCTCAGAAAGATGACTATTTTCAGCAATAATGGATTCATTTTCAAAAATTAATCTATGGTATCAATTTTTGGTGGATACCATAGATTTTCATTCCATTAGTGTTGTTTGTGTACCTTGAGTATCTTTTTTGGCTGCTCCTCTGCACTTGCCACCATTAATCCATGTCCACACATTACCCCTTCAGCTAAGAAGTAGCGGAGCAGCAAATTGGCATAGCTTCCAAATGTGTCCTCCTCTAAGATAACATGAAACCAGGAAAACAGCATTGATTTTTTTTAAATAATAATTAATAATAATAATACTCAGCTTTTATATAGCAGAATTACAATTAAGTCTGTACACGCTTCCAATCTTTGAGTTTATTACCCCAGCTTTAGCTGTGCTGCCATTACGGCGCTCTAGCATTTCAAGGAATTAATTACAGCCAGGTACCCAGGTACAAGGTGAAAGTTATCAGGAATATACTTGACATACTTCAGCGTCTCACGCAAGTGAAATGTATGTCCCCATCCTTTTTTCCCCGCTCTTTGCCTTCTTTTCTTTTTACATGAAAGAAAAAAACAATGTGCCCCAATATTTTCGTAATAGCATTAATAATGTTCACCAATTAAGTTTTCTTTATTTCTACATTTTTTTGCTTCCTTTCCACTATCAGTATCACTTTTTATATTTTTTACAACAGCTGGATTTTACTTTAATGAACCTTCAAGTCTTTTAAAGCATGACTTACCTATTAATAGCACTGAACCAACTGCTAGGCCCCCACCTGAAAATAAAGGAGAAAAATCACACAAATACTGTAATATGTAACATTGAGATTCATGAAATAAAAATAACTGGAGGCCCCGTGCAGGAGAGACACGTACACCCTGTGCATGTTTATACACTTGATACTTGATGAGGTAATCCCTGAAGCAGCTTTTCCATACTGGGATGGGATGTGTTGTGACAGCAGGTGAAGGTGCAGACAACAAAAGGGTGTACAATTGCTTTATACAGTAAAACAGTGACGTGCAAGTAAAAAATCATGCTGCTCATATGGTTTACAGCATTATGCCGGTCATACCGCCCACCGGGTAATGCATGGCCGCACACTGGGGAACTTGAAGCATTTCAAAACATCAATGCTGACCACGCTGTCAGGCTGTGGGTCAGTTAGGTTATTTGTGCCTTCTAAAGTTCTATTTAGACTAATAAGTAGATCTACATGTCCGGGCCAGCGTTTCTAGAAACCGTCATAACTACAAGTTCACCGACATCCCATTGAAACGTGTGTATTAAGTTTAACACGCGTTTCAATGGGATGTCGGTGAACTTGTAGTTATGACGGTTTCGAGAAACGCTGCCCTGCTAACTTGGACCAGGGGACAACTCGGCTCAGGTACAAAAACGGTCAGTTTTTGCATGTTTAGGTTTAGGGTTAGGTTCAGGGTTAGGGTTAGGGTTAGGGTTAGGGTTAGGGTTAGGGTTAGAGTTAGGATTAGAGTTAGGGTAAAATGACAAAAAATGACCGTTTTTGCAGCTGGGCCGAGTTGTCCCCTGGTCCGAGTTAGCCCGGATCCATCTACATATGATATGGACTCTACATTGAGGGTAAGTATTCTGTGAGTATTTGCATAAAAATAGAATCGGCAGTTCCCGCGGATCGGCCGCACACCGGAGCCACTAGATTTAGACCCTACATCAACTATAAAACTGTCTGTCCAGATCTAGATCTATACAAATTCAAAAGCTTAAGGGTCTAGTCTAGACTACTTTTACTTTTTAGTTTTATGACTTTTCATGGTTTTAATTGCACCTTAGCCCCGCACCTCTAAACTGTACGGTATTTTTAAAGATAAATGCATTTTTCTGTTTCAATGTGGGCTCGCTTTCGTACGAAAAAATAAGACGCCGCCCGCCTTGCCTGCATGCTGCTCGCGAAACCAGCAGCTTGGCCTGCTCTGCTCATCGCCTCCAGTTGGAGCCGCTGCGGCTCGGGGCGCGAGGGCCAGCAGGAGGAGCAGAGCCAGCGCCAGAGCCAGAGCCAGAGGCCTGATAACTGTCTGATTTTGTGAACCAGCACAAAAATCGTTTAATAAAATTCTGTTTTCTCAAATGTCATACCCAGTAAGTGATCGAGTGATGGAACACCAGTAGAGACAAGCAACTGTCCATTGTGTAGGGACGGTCGAGTTCCTCGTACAGAGAAATTCTTGGATTTCCCCCGCCTTTGAAAACTCGTTTTTGGTTCACAGGGCGCTGCCATTTTGTTTAAAGTAACCTTATTTAAGGCTAATGTAATAAAATAATCTTGTATACCTTTACTTTTAGAACTCTATTAGAAAAAAAATGAGGCAATAAACAAATCTCTATAAGATGAAAAATGAAATAACTCATAACAAAGAGATCTAGATTGTGTTTAAATACAAAATTTAAAAGTAAAACAAATGTTTCAACAATTTATGACCAATCTAAATTTATAAGTATACCTGGAAATACACTAGACGTTACAATTTCAAAGTGATGCACAACCAGTCTGAGTCTGACTGTTTGATGAATGAAGAAGGAACAACATGACTTCTCAATCTCAGGAAGTAGGCGATTTAGAAATCATAGTTTCACATGGTATGAACTTTATGATGTGTTATTGTGTTTAGTTTTGTGTTGTCTATTCTGTTTGTTTGTATTATTTTGTAGATTTGGGGGTCTATTTTTGTTAATGTTATCATGCAATTATCATGTTTAACTTAGTTGTGCGGCCGCGGCCCGGTGATGGTGATCGTTCATTTCATTTCATTTATTTTCATATTTCTCATGTTACATATATTATAGACCTACATTTCAAATAAAGTAAAATTTGTTTTTTCAATGATACATAATAAATAACATAAAGATAATGGTCAATATGGAGTTGTGATTTAACAAGGAGTAATATGAAAGCAAGCTTGTAAAGTTGTAAAGATGTTGGTCCCAGTGAAATAGTTTGTGGTAATAAATCATTAAATGGAGGACGGATGACCAGTCTAAATGAATAATAATTTTAAAAAAAGGAAATAATAATAAACAGGCAGTGGTGCTGTTTATATTGTTCCTTCCTTTCTTACTGTACATGTAGACAAAAAGTACACATTGGTCTATACTTAAATTATCGTACAATGGGTGCTCAGCTGCTAGCTGGTAAACAAACCTTAGACCTACACTGTACAGATAATAATAAAATGATTACATTTGTATATACATTAATAGATATAACGAAGCGAGCAAGCACACTGTGTTGTTGAAGTTGTATAGGCCAAGTTTTGTAATCTGTTATCTTTTGTTGTATCTTCCACAGATAATACAGCACTAATATTGTTGTAAATTGGTATTCTGAAAACTATTTTAATCCTGTATTATCTCTTGAAGGACTGCCTCTATCTTATCTTTGACACACCCATTGTTGTCAATCAAGATCTACATGTATTTCATTATATTGACATGATAAGAAAAAAGTAGGTCATGCAATAGGAATACTTGGGCGTAATTAGTTTAAATTGAACGCATATTATGTGCATCATATGCGCTGTGGTATGTGGATCATGAAGACAAGTCGCGCTTTCAGAAGGTGTAACACATTAAGCTCCGTTGAGCTTCAGATTGTTTTTAGCTGCACATAGAATTCTTGTAGAGCCTTTTTACTTGCACTGTACACTCAGCACTTGACAAGCACAAGGTACGATAATACGCCAACAGCGGACTGTAACTATACTGGAAGAAGAAGAAGAAGAAACATCACAGAGATGAGAGCATATCACATCGTCATATCCCAGCATGTAATTTAATTCTTAGAAAGTTCTCATCTGTGATGTCTCCGGTCAACACACAATCTTCTTCTAACTCTTCTAACTCGTCTATTGGCACGAAGTTGGTTCTGGGCAAGGAAGATTGCCGCCATTATAACACCACAAAAGATACAACAACCCCCTACCTATTGTACATATTGTTGTAAATACCATGCATGATAAGATAAGATAAAAGATACAACAATTTTAAGAATACCAATTATCTTGTCCTTTTATCTTCCATGCGCATATGCTAATGAGGATTAAGCGCCATTTTATTAATAATACACACTATTACAAGCGCACAAAGTTTGAGCGCAGACGCAGCCAAGGAAATGAGAGAAAAGATACATCAAAAGTTACAACAATGTTCAGAATACCAATTTATCCTATCTTCAATGATAGCGAAGCACATGGTTCAGAATACGTGCTTGTGTTTTCATGATTTTGTGTGGAGAAAAACAACTTTACACTTAAATTTCCACTGATTACAGGTTGATGATTTCTAAAAGAGTGATTGAGAGATGATGATAGACGAGACTACTACCGGTAAATTTGATGAAGATGACATGATAAACATTCAAAGTTGTAATCGATCAAACACAATTTGGCAACTCAGTCGCCCATAAATAGCAAAAACATTTTAATCCTATACTGGTCTAACCCTTGACAGCGACACATGAAAACAAAGATTTTAAATACTGTCCTTAGTTAAGCCAGACTTAAATAAGCATGTTTAATAAGAACGAGTGATCTGTTGTGAATTGACTACATAATTTGTTTACATTGTAACAGGGCCAGATAAACATTGTGTGAGTCTCCCTGGTGCGGCTACTGTGGGTGATCTGTCTTTGAAACTGGAAGAGTTGACAGCAGTTCCTGTGGGTGGTCAGAAGATCATTAATAGAGGTAAGATCATTCTTTAGCAATATGGTCAATGTCAATGTCAATGTCAATGTGATGGTTATTTTACCTGACTGCTAAGAAAGCATAAATGCTTGTAAGTAAGCAACCAGATGGCCAACGGCTTTAGGTCCTCTCTGAGGGACCTGGTAGTGAGGATTTATTCCTTACTAAAGGGCACTATAGCGCATCGCCTTGGTTTCGAACCCAGGTGACCGGATTACGAGACCACTGCTCTACCAACTGAGCCATCGCGCCTCCTCAATTAAGATCTTAAGTTGTTTAATTTCTTGGCATAGATATACTCGTGCAACCCTGACCACTTCTTCCAACTACCTAGCAGACACAATGCACAACAACAAGAGGTGAAAGTCTCAAGCTTGCAAAGCCGAGGTGTAGGACAAGTCACAAATGTAAGGATTCCTGTTAAAGGTATAGACCAGTTCTGGTCGTGCGATTGCATTGTGAAAGAAACGTGGAATCGATCAGAAAAGGTTGACTATCTAGCATATAAGTATTGGTGTGTACTGCAAGGTTTTGGAATCATCAAAATGATAAGAAATTTGGCCCAATCTTAGTAAAGTTACAAGCACTGTACACAGAAAGATACTACGTGATATCTATCAAAGCTGGATCGATATGATAATTTACCAAATATACCAATTAGTAGGCGGTTTCAGGGCAAAATTTGTATCATCATGTATTAGTCAAAACATTTTCTTTCACATGATTGGTAATACGAGCTTCCATTTCATTTTTTGAGAGGGGGCGTTTTCAAAACTGGTCTAAACCTATAAAGAGGTTCTCACTAGTCTGTGAATTACAAACAAAAATGTACACAAAAACTACAAACAATCTTCATTTTCACATAAATGTGCTGATGATAATATTAGAGACAAAGTATGTTTTAGAATGAATTATTTAGCAGTATATTATTCAATGGTTTATTTTATAATCTTCAGGCCTGATAAAAACCCGATTTAAATCGGTTTCCCGATTTTTTTTTATTTTTACAGATTTTTTCCAGATTTTTTTTTTACCAGATTTTTTTTCTTCCCTATTTTATCCTGATTTTCCTGATTCCCCCTTATTTTCTCTATTCTTCCCTATTTTGCCCTATTTTTTCCCCAATTTTTTCCCCAATTTTCTTACTCGAAAGGGGAGAATGTTGTTAGATGCCATTTTTTCCCCGCGAATTCCTCTTCTTTTTTTTTAACTCAAGGGGGGCATGGTTGAGGGGAAAACAAAAAACCTTTTTTTTTTTAGTGCTCACTATTCCCCCTGAATCTTGGGGTGTCTGTTAAATGCAATCTCTTGAAAAGAAGTCTACTTTATCTTTAATAACCCATTGGAATGATCGTTGATATCTCCACAGGTAAAACTCTTATGAATCATGATCTGAATGTGACAGAAGCCGGTATCAGGAATGGAAGTAAACTCATGCTCATCGGTAAGAAGGTAAGATCAACATCTAAACCATTTTGATTTCAAGACTAAATGTTTGAAGAGATGTTGTGGTCTGACTGTGAACCACAAGGCAAGGGTTTTGAGTTCCTACCTCAGCACTAATTGAATTTCTTTATTGTCATGCACAAATAATAGGAAGGCATAAAGTTGTCTTACAACTGACATGCGTGTAAAATATATCATTACATTAACATATCATAAACAAATAACTACAAATAACGTAAATAACATAAAAATGTAATATAATTCACTCTCTCTGTTGAGAGCCAGGGGAATTATTTCATTATTTGTACTCCCCTGGCTCCCATCAGACAATAACTTAAATATATTCTAGAAAATGTTTATGACAACAATCAATGACATATAAATAGAACACATCACGGTCAAGATCTAAAAACAATTATTCATCAATTATTAAAAATTTCAGATATAAACTGTATATTTTGGGTATATCCTCTGGCAAAACATGAATCTACATTTGCCACACTTGACTCAGGTGATCTCCTGGCCAGATGTATCCCTTGAATGCACTGAGCGTTACAGTTGCTCAATGTGCGGGGAGTTAAAGCCAGGGGAATTATTTCCCAAGTCCTTTGGAATATAGAGACTTTATATCATAGTCTTTATTGTTATAGACTTTATATCATGGTAATAATACTATTATTACTAAGTTATTACCAGTGTTAACGGTTTACTTGTTATTGCACTGAAGTGACAATCTACTTGTAATATTTTTAGAGAGATTCTATGATACCAAAACAAAAATACACCGGTATCTAGGATCCTTTAAAATATATTTTAAAACACAACATTTTGAATTATACTATAATTACTATATTTCTGACTTTATTAAACCTGGGCCCTGTCTTACAAAGAGTTGCGATTGAATCGCAAGTCCTTCAATCAATCGCAAGTTTGCAGTCTCCTTTCTCTTTAAGTTGCGATTGATATCAATCGCAAATAAGTTGCGATTGGTATCAATCGCAAATAAGTTGCGATTGGTATCAACTCCTTGTAATACGGGCCCCTGGTATGGATATAACATGATCTTATTTACTGACAACGCCATGCATTTGTAATTGTATCCTCCAGTTAAGAGAATGTTGAGTTCTGGGAAGAGGTGAAAAATAATTTGTGAGCGTTATCATTCTTATTATGCAAGTGTGGAAGAACATCAGATAAGACATGTTTCTTAAAAGCATGGCTCTTCAAATGCCTTCATATTCTAAATATGTCATGTAACATCGTAGAACTCGGGGGTTAGGATTTTTACGCCACGTATTCGTGTAGTCCCATATACATCTTTCTGTGTTCAGTGTTTGTAACTTTACCAAGACTTGGCCAAATTTCTTATCATTTTGATGATTCCAGAACCTTGCAGTACACACAAATTCTTATATGCTAGATGATCAACCTTTTCTGGTCGATTCCACACCGTTTCTTTCACAATGCAATCGCATGACCAGAACTCAATTTTATCTTTAAACCTATCTAATGCTTTTGGTCATGTGACCTTTACCCTTGACCTTTAACCTCTTGACCTCTAACCTTTGTCAGTTCAATCCAGAGGAGGATGAGAACTACAAGCAGATTGTTGAGGCGAGGAAAAAGATTGATTCTTTAGCAAAGAAACAGAGCGGAATATCAGAAGAACTATCCGGTGTAGAAAAAGTAAGTATATTCAATACTTAATTAAAGTGTGCCATCAGGTTTAGAAAGATTTGTCATAAATGGGAGGGTTTTGGTTTATTTTATTTAAGGTGAAGAGTTGACGTTGCATGATCACTTCTACTTTGCTATCCATAACTTCAGTACTTTCAAAATTTTAACCATCAATGTATTCATACAGAAAAATTGCTTTAATACTCAGTAGAATATAGAACAGTTTAAACCGTTTACCACTAGACCAAATCACATCTCTCAATGTTGTTGTTGTTGTTTAGGTTTATAGGTATCTATCATTCAGGAATGAAGGTATTCTTTTCCCATTCAATTAGATTTACTTCTTTGAATATATAGATTTGGATAATTTGGATTCTTAAACTTTTTATTTAATGTTGAAGAGGTCAATGGCTGGCAAGCAAAAGGCCTCAGTATCGGCTATATTTGGACGTCCAAGGATCGACCTGGACAAGGTACGTTGAGTGTATGTGTGTGTATTGGGTTTTTACAGACGTGTATCAATCAGTTATGATTATTTACGTCTGGGACCGACCTTTAACATCACCATCCAAAAGACGTGACTCAGTTTCGAACCTGCGTCCTCGGCTGAATCAGTTTGTAACTTCCATTGTTAGCTGGATTACAGGCGCATGCCACAATGCCTCGTTGTGAAGAATAGCATTGTAGTCTTGACTCAATGCATTTTCTTTTCTGTACAGGGTTATCTGCACAAGGAATTAGAAAGTAATTCTTTGTCTAGCCTGGGGAAGAGACTAGCGGCATGTCATGAGGAGTATGTAAGACTTCTAGAGAAGCTAGATGCACTGGTAAGTATGTCGTGAGATGAAGAGAAAAATAATATTCTTAATCTGAAAAGGTGGAAAGTATACAAGAAAGGAAGATGGAAGAGAAGGGAGGGAAAAAAAAGGATACAGGGACTTAAAGCCCCTCTAATGTGGGAGCTCCCAAAATTTTGTGACAAAACCTACATTTTGTATTCTTTCATCTAACCCTGTAAGTTGGGGTTTTGATCGGATCGGAAGATCTGAGCGACACCTGCGCACCTTTGATCAGTATCTTTTTTTGTAAATGCCAAACAATGTTGGTCTATCAAATGCTGAAAAACATGCATACAGTAGCTGGCATTATTTTGTCATTTAGAGTTGTTTTAGACCATGTTTGTTGATATTAAGTGCCTTTTCATGAATTTGAAATTGATATTAGTTAAGAATAGAGGCAAAACATGTGAGTCGCCATCTTGGATTTTAATAACAATGGACAAAAAATGTGTGCCTACATTATAATCCAAGATGGCGGCTCGCATGTTTTGCCTCTTCTCTTAGACCAATATTATTAATATCAAAGTCATGAAAAGGCACTAAATATCAACAAACATGATCTACAACAACTCCAAATGACAAAATAATGCCAGCCATGCATGATCATTTTCATTAATCGGCAATCCCAGTTTATTATCCGATTTCGATCAGATGCTTGGTAACAGGGTTGCTTTCTTCAATATGCGGCTTCAAACACATTTATTTTAAAAATCCTTGCAGAATTCAGTGTTAAATAACATCCTCTTTCACATTATTATAACATTTACGTGAAAATAGTTAGTGGGGGGAGATTGCCACTGAAATTTGTTCTTCTTAATTGCTGTTTGTGAATATTGAGATACAATGTATATCATTCTCTTTCACATGACCTGTATCTTGACCTCTCTCCCTATTCTGTTTTTGCTCCCTTTATTTCTCCCTTTATTTCTACCTGTACGTCCTTCTTTCCAATTACTCTGTCTTTTTCTTCTTTCTCTATTTGTCTGTCTCTTTATTTCTCTCTCTCTCTCTCTCTCTCTCTTTCTCTCTCCCTCCCTCTCTGTATCCCTCTCTCTCTCTCTCTCTCTGTTTCTCTCATTCTCTCTCTGTGTGTGTCTTTTTCTGTCCCTGTCTGTCTCTCTCTCTCTCTCTCTGTCTGTTTCTATATATGTGTGTGTGTGTGTTTGTCTCTCTCTCTCTGTCTGTCTGTCTGTCTCCCTCTGTCTCTCTCTCTCTCTCTCTCTCTCTGTTTCTCTCATTCTCTCTCTCTCTCTGTCTTTTTCTGTCCCTGTCTGTCTCTCTCTCTCTCTCTGTGTCTTTTTCTGTCCCTGTCTGTCTCTCTCTCTCTCTCTGTCTGTCTCCCTCTGTCTCTCTCCGTATGTCTCTCTCTCTCTCTCTCTTTCTCTCTCCATGTCTGTCTCTGTCTCTCTTTGTCTGTCCCTCTCTCTCTCTCTCTCTCTCTGTATGTCTCTCTCTGTGTCTGTGTATTTGTCTCTCTGTCTCTCTCTATCTGTCTGTCTCTCTCTCTCTGTCTCCCTCTGCCTCTCTCTGTATGTCTCTCTCTCTCTCTCTCTTTCTCTCTCCATATCTGTCTCTCTCTGTCTGTCTCTATCTGTCTCTCTCTCTGTCTCTCTCTCTCTCTATCTGTCTCTCTCTCTCTCTGTCTCTATCTGTCTCTCTCTCTCTATCTGTCCCTCTCTCTCTCTCTCTCTCTCTGTCTGTCTCTCTTTGTCTGTCTCTCTCTCTCTTTCGTGTACAGGACCTAGGAGTGTGCAATCAATCCATACGTATGAAGAGGAGGAGTGTTATCAAAGAGATCCAGAGCCAGCTAGACACTAATGATTCCATAAGTACTACCATAGACAAACTACAAAACACTAGTGACAGCTGATGGATTGTGACATAACTCATTCTAGTATTAGCTCTACAAACTACAAGACTTATGAAGTGAACTTGTCTCAAGGAGGTTATAATCATGTGATCGTGTTACCAAGTGATATTATTTGATCAATCAAGATGCAAGGATTTCACAGAGAGTTTTGGTCGTGTGACAACCTGACAATCTCTAAGTTAGACTTAACAATTATGGAAAGCTGTTAGCATCCTTGAAAATATTTGTGTAAAAGTTATTTTAAAAGGAACTAATTGTTGATTCAAGTCATTTATATTTTCTATTATCTTTGGAGTTTTCATGTTCTTGATGTGGAATTTATGAAAAGTCTAAAATACTTGAATTTTTTAGTTTTTGAACATATTTCATTATAAGGCTACAAATGGCTCTCCATAATATTTAAGTCCAACTTAGAGTAAGTTCGAATTAGAATCTTTGTGGAACACCCCCCTGTATGGCATTTGTTTTTTTAAATATATATCATCCATGAATGCAACATTCCCTCATTTGAATATGACAAGTGCTAGTGAAAGTACCATTAATCAGTGGAAGGAAGGAATTCTTTGAACGCACCAAAATCAGTAGCCTAGCAGAGCAGGGGTAATATTGGACCGCCTTGAGCACCTTGCAGGGTGGATATGTGCGCTATAGAAATATCTAATATTATTATTATTATATCAATTTTTTGTTAATTAAGTAAATTTTGTATTCTTCATCTAACCCTGTAAGTTGGGGCTTTGACCGGTATAGAAAAAAAGACATATGTTGTATGGGACACTACATAACCCTATCAATCAATTGCCTGTGGGGCATTATTGGTATCTCTCTAGGACATTCCTATGTGAGATAATTATGTAATTAATAGATATTTTCACACAGGTACAGTATGTGATGTGGGGTGATGTTTATTTTACCTGACTGCTAAGAAAGCATAAATTCTTGTAAGTAAGCAACCAGATGACCGACAGCTTAAGGCTAGCTAGGTCCTCTCCGAAGGACCTGGTAGTGAGAGTTAATGCCTTACCAAAGGGCACTAGCGCATCGACTTGGTTTCGAACCTGGGTCACCGGTTTACGAGACCACTGCTCTATCAACTGAGCTATCGCGCCTCCTTGAGCTTTGAGCTGGCTTAATACCCTAAAGAGGGGAGATTGGTTTTTACTCAAATACACCATACACAAAGACCAGGAAATGTAACAAAAGAAAGTATTTGAGGAAAGTCAATAGCAGGGTAAGTGTGCTTATAGCCATCAGGTCCAGACTGATCTCCATGTGTACTGTGTGGAATTCACACATTTTGATCCGGTTTTGTTTGTTATAAGAACAAGCTTTTCAGTTGTTATCATATTACTGTAGTCTTGTATTGTCAAGAAATTCAGAAGTACTTACATCATGAAACATTTACCTTTAGAAACTGAGAAAAGTGATATACATTATGAATTATGAAGGAATGTTTTACCTGACTGCTAAGAAAATGCTTGTAAGTAAAGCCTCGGTCACAAATGCCATTACGAACTGCTACGAACGATTTTCAGACAATGGAAATTTGGGAAGACAATGAAAAAACGGAGATTCGTACAAAATTATCATTCGTACGAACCTTTGTGACCGTAGCATTAGCAACCAGACGGCAGACGGTTTTAGGTCCTCTCCGAGGGACCTGGTAATGAGGATTAATGCCTTACCAAAAGGCACCAGCGCATCGCCTTGGTTTCGAACCCGGGTCACCAGATTACAAGACCACTGCTCTACCGACTGAGCTATCGTGCCTCCTTGAATATGTATTCCTTTATAAAGTACCAGTACTGAGTTGAATCTGTGCAGAGTTGTTATTCCAAGCTTTCACAATGTCACGTCTGAGCGATCTGTGACATGGTCATCGAGAGGTTACAGGAAATCATTTTAATTGAAAGAAAAATCTATGTGATTTATTCACTTGCATATACCCTGGAGTCAAATCATAAAGGTGCATTTCATGGTAAACTAACCTCTTGTTGACTTTTCATGAGACTAAAACGTTCTCAGTAGTTTTTTCTTTATCTCTTTTTCTTTTTCATCATCCTTTGAAATGTGTAGTTTGAGTACTCCTAAAATGTATTATTTAAAACTAAGATAACTGTTGACTACAAAGCCTTATACAGGCTTTCCCATAGTTATCTTATTTCATTTCTCATACTTAACGGTTTATCATCATACATGACATATTCTTTGAATGATTTCTATTTGTTTTTTATATTGTATATATGTTATATTTTGATTGTATTTTTAAATGAATAAACAAACAAACAAATAAAAAGATTTGTGGATTAATAATATTTCAATTATTGATGTATATGGTTCTAATGAATTGTGCTTTTATTATAGACATGATAAATCTAGTTACTATTACTTCTTGATGCAATACACAAGGGGAATTAGAATTGATGCTAATGACTTTAACTTTTATTCAATTTGTAAGTTATAATATTGTTGTGATAAATTTTACAATACTTTTGATAAGTATAAGTCTCATTTGATATACATTATCTTGAAATAGATACTGAATATTGATGGTTGTGAAGTTTCCTTACAACAGAAAATAAATCACATTTGTTTTCACTACGGATCTCTGTTTCCAATTTGGTGCCCTTTGATTTTGTATGACGGGATGTATGCTTCTAGCTCCAACAATTTGCTATGCATAAGTTCTATTCCAAATTCTGAACTTAAAGACAAACTTGAGTTCAGAGGAGAGGCAAAACATAATTTGTGAGTGTTAATAATTATGCAAGTGTGTAAGAAAATCATAGAAAAAATGTTCCCTGAAAAGCATGGCTCTTCAAATGCCTCCATATTCTAAATATGACAAGTAACAGCTTAAAAATGAGGCCCGGTTTTTATGCAACATGGTTCTGTAGTCCCTGTTCTTTCTGTGTACATGCAGTGCTATAATTGACCAAGATTGAGCCAGACTTCTTATCATTTTGATGACTCCAGAACCTTGCAGTACACACCAATACTGATTTGCTACATGATCAACTTTTTCTGATCGGTTCCACACCGTTTCTTTCACAATGCAATTGCATGACCAGAACTCAACTTTATCTTTAAATCCTTGACTACATTTACAAGCCTAAACCCAATTGCATCCCTAAAATTAGCCCTATATCTTTCTTGAAATAAAACCTGCAGCGCAGATGTGGAATAACCACAGGGAGGCTAGGCCGGAGAGAAGTGGAGTGATAGTGGTAATATTTAGAAAGATTGGTGGATGAAAAGAATCAGGGGGGCGTTTCACAAAACTTGTCATCAGTGACAAGTGACAGTTTTTGTTTTAAGCTACTGAAATCCTTGCTTCTGATTGGTTTTCAGCAGATTTGTTATTGATTTTTGACAAAAGGAAATATAAAAGAAAGAGAAACACAAAGGGGTAGTATATAGGAGAGATACGGGAGAGAGTTGGGGGAGAAGAGACGGAGAAAGAGGTGGTAGAAATAGGAGATCGGAAGAAAGGCCGGTATAGCAGAAACGAGAGAGAGGATGGGAAGGGGGGTAGAAAGGAAGTAGAACTCATGCACTGATGAGAGATAGAGGAAATTTGAGGATAAAAGATCCGGGGGTGAGATATCAAGAGAAGAGGTGGGAATTGAAGACGTAGGTATATTATATTCAATTCAAGATTTTATTCCAGACTCGGCTGCAAGAGCAGAGGTCCATATAACATATTTACAGGACTGTATAGATATAAACAATAAACAAGAATAAGAGAGGAACATAATAATCCGACATAATTACATGAACAAGTATAAACAATGAACAAAACTAAGAGGGGTACCCATAATAGATTATACGAGAAACAAACAACCTCTGCCGACTATATACAAGAGATGAGATATAACGAGGAGTATAGTGGGAAAGAGAGGATACAGAACGGAGATGAGATAGAGAGAGGGTAGATGAGTGGGAGAGAGGGGTGGGGGAAAGGGAGGGGATTACTATTATGGCGAGAGATAAATGAATTTTAAGGAGATCGAGAGAAGGAAGTACGTCTGACGAGGTGAGCCTAAGACCCGGGGGGGGGGGGGTGGGGGAGGGGACTCACATATTAGGACATACGGGGGTGTATGGGTCACTTTGTCACACAAAAATCCTACATGGGTCTCACTTTTAACAAAAATACTATTAAAAATGGGTCCGTTTGGGGATCTAAGAGAGTAGGGACTGAAAGAAAAAGAAGGAAAGATTTAGAGGAGATGTGATAAATCATAAGAATAGATGAGAAGAGGGGATGGGGGTAATTGAATGGCGGGGGGGGGGGTATAAAGATGAGAGATGAAGGAGAGAGAGAGAGAGAGAGAGAGAGAGAGAGAGAAACGGGGCTGGAGAGGGATGCAAACAATGAGGGGGGGGGGGGGTGTAAGAGAGAGAGGGAGAAAGGGGGGGGGGGTAGTAAAGATGGGAGATGGAGATAGACTCGCGGGGCGTGGTGGTTTAAAAAGGGGGGTAAGTACCCCCTCCCCCTTTCCTTTACAACCGATTTAATTGTTTAATTATAACATGACCAAACTGGGACGAATTTCAAATATTGATGCTTTGTCGGGGAATTAAGACTATATATTTATATATATATATATATATATATTATTTTTTTTTTTTGGGGGGGGGGAGATTACTTCTGCTCGAGAGAATTGCATTCTGGATTAACTATTGTCGGCAGTATATTATCCATCATGTGAAAAATCAATTTCATGCCTCATAAGACCATTATTGATACGGAAGGAACCAATTATCTGGGAAGAAGAAACAAATTTATATGTTGAAACAAGGTTTAACAAAATTATGAATCCCCGGTGATGTGTTTGTTTTATCGTTGTAAAAACACAGTTTTGCAGTATCCAGAGTGGAAAACCTGACATCACTTGAACTTGAGCATTATATTGAACTATAGTCGTCAAACAGGAACCGGGTGTACTACATGGACAGTGGCGCCGGAAGAGGGGGGGGGGGTAAACGCCCCCAAAATCAGCATAAATTAAGGACTAAAAAATGATTTGTATTTTTTACCAAAAAGAAGAAGAAAAAAAAAATCTGAATTGAATCACATAAAAATTATATTCCATTCAAAGAAAATGAGATTAAACAAGAATTAAATTTCCAAGACTTTCCGCATGCCCTGCAGAACGGCGTGGCCCGTGGGCTCGACCCCCCCCCCCCTTTCACTTTAAAAAAAAGGTATGTTAACGAGAAAAAGAAAGAATGAGTGACCTGCTCATTTGACAGTAATTAAATGCCTAAAACCCCTGAGCATCCGGGGGCTCCACCCACTGGACCAGGGGCGTCGCTAAACCTTTTTCAGTGGGGGGGGGGGGGTGTAGAGGCCAACGACTATCTCTATAGTACTTTTTTTTCGACGACATAAATATACGAATTATTTCGTCAATTTAGTCAGCATCATAGCTATATATTTTAATGTAGCCGCGGAGCTAGGATCTCATTTTAGGGAGGGGTGGTAGTGAGCAAGCGAATCACCTTAAGGGGTGTGGGTAATAGGCCTCTCGCGCGAAGCGCGGAAGCTTAGTCGTTTCCATAAATAATTATTATTATTAGGAAAAGAAGACGATTTATTGTACCGTTCTCGACTGTTAATCCTTATCTGAATTCAGTTCTCCCCTCCCGTGCAAAGCGCGACAATTTTTGACGTTTCATTAAATTAATAGAGCCTGAAAGTAAACAATTCGTTGAACCGTGCTCGACTCTAAATCCTTGTCTGAATGAAGTCCCCCCCCCCCTCCCGCGTTTTAACGTTTTGAAGTTTTGACGTTTCCTTTAATTATTAGAAAAAGCAGACGATTCCTTGTACCATTTTCGACTCTTAATCCTTGTCTGAATTCAGTTTCCCCCTTTAGCGTGAAGCGCGGAAGCTTTGGCGTTTCCTTAAAGGTAAAGACCATTTATGGTCATGCGATTGCATTGTGAAAGAAACGTTGTGGAATCGATCAGAAAAGGTTGATCATCTAGCATTTAGCATCTGCAAGGTTCTAGAATCGTCAAAATGATAAGAAATTTGGCCTATTCTTCGTAAAGTTACAAGCACTATACACAGAAAGATGTATATGGGACTACCCTATATCTCTCACAGACCATGAGAGAAAGAAATTTACCAAATATATGAATTAGTAGGCGGTTTCCCGGCAAATTTTTTATCATCATGTATTAGTCAAAAACATATTCTTTCACATGATTGGTAATGAGAGCTTCCATTTCATTTTTTGAAATTGGGGCATTTCCAATACTGGTCTTTACCTTTAAATTATTAGAGAAAGCAGACGATTCGCTGTACCGTTTGCGACTCTTAACCCTAATTTGTCTGAATTCAGTTTCCCCCCTCTCGCGCGAAGCGCGGAAGCTTTGACATTTCCTTAAATTATTAGAGAAAGCAGACGATTCGTTGTACCGTTCGCGACTCTTAATCCTTATCTGAATTCAGTTTCCTGTGTTTCCTAAAATTACTAGAGAAGGAAGACAATTCGACGTACCGTTTTTGACTCGTCTAAATGAGTTTTCCCCTCCCGCGCGAAGCTCGGAATTTTGGGCGTTTCATCAAAATATAGAGAAAGAAAGACGGTTCGTCGTACCATTGTTGACTCTTAATCCTGTTTAAGAAAATTTTAAACCTCTGATTTCTTTAGCTGATATTATAGGAAAGTGAAACTTCGAGAAAATACAAGTATTGTAGTTGTAGTCACTCTCGAAGTCGCATGCGCGTACGCAGGATTTTTTCAAGGGGGGGGGGGGGGGTTTAACATTTATAAATCGGGCCGAAAATTTCGCAACGACTCAGCCAGCCGCTGAATAAGCGGGGGGGGGGGGGGGTTACACACATAAAAATACCAAGGGGGGGGGGGGTTAACCCCCCCCCCCCCCCCCCCTGTGTACGCGCCTGCGAAGTCGTCACAGTGAATAAAAAGTCACAGTTCGAAGGGAAAAAAACTTGTCGGCCGACCGACAATATACATCTCACCGACTTCAAACTTCTGTATTGATATAGTACACGAGGATCGAGCAAGAATACCGTCACAGCTGACCCGACATAGCAACATATTTACCCGTGTCTTTCTTGCTCCCTCGACGAGACGACTCCACCCAACAACCCCCTTCTCTCTTTTACTCCCACTCATCCTCTATCAGGCTCTGACCTCCCCTCTCTCTCTCCTCTTTTTCATCCCCCGTTTCTTCTGTTTCCATTTTCTCTTTTTTCTTCTCTTTTTCCTTTTCTTTCTTTTCCTTTCTTTCCTCTCCTCCCTCTTTTTCTTTTTTCTCTTTTCTTTCCTTTCTTTTCCTTTCTTTCCTTTCTTTTCCTTTCTTTCTTTTCTTTTCCTTTTTCTTTTCCTTCCCTTTCCCTCTCTTTTTCCCTCCCCCTCTTCTCTTTTTTCCCGACGGCAGCGCAATTTTACCGACAATATCCTGACAGGTGGGGGGGGGGGGCTGTCGCACCCCCACATCCCCCTTTGGCACCGCCCCTGCATTGGACCCCACGCCAATTCGTGACTTCGACTTACCAGCTCGTGTCACAAATAATGTATACCCTATCCAAAAATGTTTATCTGACCGCAATTTAATGCCTAAAACCCGTGAGCTTCCAAGGGCTATAGCTCCGCCTCTTGACCCCTGCCGGGGCAACACCCTGGACCCAACGCCAATTTACGCTCCATTCCCTTCACTCGCTACGCTAGTTAACTCTGAAAAAAATGTTCTGCGGGGCCTGCATGTACGTGTAGGAGTAGTGTGGGGGTTCCAGCCACAATTTTTTTTTTTTTTTGGGGGGGGGGGGGAAGCGAATTACTAATTCAATGAATATGATCCAATCAAACAGGATTGCTTTCAATTCAATTTTGTCATATAAACTTAACAAAAATCGAAAGCAAAGTATATTTAAGATAATTGAAAGCAAATATAAACATAACAAATTATGGAAATTGATTCATGTTATTATTTTTTATTACGACCGGCTTTTACGCAACTCACTTCAAGATTAAGACGTAAAGAAGAAGAAGAAGCCTAATAAGAAGAAGAAGAAGAAAAAGAAGAAGAAGAAGAAGAAAAAGAAGAAGAAGAAGAAGAAGAAGAAGAAGAAGAAGAAGAAGAAGAAAGAACTTGAAGAAGAAAAAGAAGAAGAAGTAGAAGTAGAAGCAGAAGTAGAAGAAAAAGGCAACACGTGAAGAAAAAGAAAGAAGAAGAAAAAGAAACGTGAAGAAACCCGGGAAGGACAACAAAGAAGGGAAAAGAAAAGGGAGAGAGAGAGAGAGAGAGAGAGGGGGAGAGAGATAGAGAAAGAGAGAGAGAGAGAGAGAGAGAGAGAGAGAGAGAGAGAGGGGGGGGGGGGGGGGAGGGAGAGAAGGGGAAGTCGAGAGACAGTAGTTATGAGGCATAATAACATGCTCATGATCATGAGAGGGAGATAATAATAATTGTTCTTCTTTATTGCGACCTCTATTGGGGGTGGGTCATCGTAATGAATTGTGGGTATCTCATTGAAACTAATGCTACTATACTACAGGAATTGTCAATAGGAATTGTACACAAAAATGGTTACACACGAAGCCTATGTATTTTATGTACACTGCGGCTACAGGATTAGAGCCGGTTATAGTCATCATCAATTCTGAGCCTGTAAGTATGCCTTATGACTATACTGTAACATTTCATCACATATAAATAACATTTGTGGTACGTTTATTTTTTTTTTTGCCTGATAATTATTTGTTATTTGTTTTTTTAGTGGAATTGGAGAATTCTTGTGGTGATAGTGAGCCGTATCGGGTGTCTTTTTATCGGGAGAGTTTCCCATCAAGATCCCATTCAGTTCAGCCCGTATGTCATGATGTAGACGTGCTGAGCTGGGCCAAGCTCTCACTAGTCTCAGCTCTGCTGAGCTTAGCTTACTTACATGTGCAATGTGACTACATTCATGCATGGTAGAACTCAGCTCAGTCGAGACGGAGTCTGAGATGTTACTTGTATAGTCTAATGAGATTAGATCTAGACTAAGTCAGTAAGTGTTGTTTTTCAGAAGGAAAGGTGGCGCTTGTTCAGAAGCCTATCCAAAATTTGACCCGTCGTAAATCCGGCGTGGAGATACCCTACGTGAAGATACCCTACGTGGAGATAACCTACGTGGAGATACCCTATGTGGAGATACCCTACGTGGAGGTGGAGTCTGGCTAACTCGGCCCAGGGGACAACTCGGCCCAGCTGCAAAACAGTCATTTTTTGCATGTTTAGCTTTAGGGTTAGGTTTAGGGTTAGGGTTAGGGTTAGAGTTAGGGTTAGAGTTATGGTAAAATGACAAAAAATAACCGTTTTTGCAGCTGGGCCGAGTTGCCCCCTGGTCCGAGTTAGCCCGGATCCGTGGAGATGCCCTACGAAAACATAGACTAGAGTAAACGGAGGGGGTTTTCGGCCACTTAAGACAAAATCCTATTTTTTGGACCCTTTACTTCCTATTTATTATCATTTCTTGTTCAAATCATGAAGCAAATATTATTATTATTTAAACAAAAAGAGAATCCCAGAAAAAAAAATCACGAATTGCCATGACAATATTCATTTCAATTTTCACTGTTTCGGAGTCAGTTATCGGCATAGCGAACCAGTTTTCGGCCGCATGTACAAAGTCAATAGGAAGTGCGCGCACGCGCCGTGCGTTTCCGCGCTGAGACTATAGTACTAGCGGGCGGAGCAGGTATCCCACGCCGGAGCTCGCCAGGCAGAAAACTAGTACTGCAGTGATCGGACATTGGAATCTGAATTAGACAGAGATATCATGTGTGCGTTGCGGTGTCCGGCTGCATTGATTTAATACATGCGGTGAGATACTTTTGAGCTTGCGACCAGCACAAAATCGGGCTCTCAATCTGAAAAATACTTGGAATAAAGCTCATTTTATGGTACCCATATTTCTTACAGACACGCGTAAGATACTCGATTTTTCAGATTCGGGTAGCGGGACCGCCGATTACATTGCTAAAATGTGATATTTTGGGATATATTTTTCATTGCAAATGTGGTTCTTCAGTGACTCTGGTATGGTATGGTATGTGTGGGATATGTGATATGCTATTATGCGATGTATTTTAAAGGGATTTTACCATGCATCCAACCAATCGGCCGAAAACTGAAGCTGGTCGATTACCCCCTCCTTTACTCTACCCAAAATGAAGTAAATATTCATTAAATGTCTGAATAAAGATCATGAGTTAAAAGTTGTTATGTTTATTACCTGTTTCGTGTCAATTTTCTTGTTATGTTTAATGTAAAACCTTGATATTAGTATACACTTTTTCACAGGTTTCACGGCAAACCGCTGCACAATACAAGTAGTCTACATACCGATGGTGAGTTGTTGGCGGGCGTGCGCCTGTGTGAAGTTATCTACCGTAAGGTCTTAGATCCTCATTACTGTAGATAACTTCATACAGGCGCACGCCCGCCGCGCCCGCAACCCACCATCGGTATGCACTTGTATTGTGCAACGGTTTGCCGTGAAACCTGTGAAAAACCTGGTTCTTTGAAACTCTCACATAAGATTGTGAACACACACTTGTCTATACCGCTCTGTTCCCTTCTTGTTATTGAAAGAGTCAAACAAGCCAGTTACATGTAAAGGGACTTGGTAACATTGTTCAGGTGAGAGATAGTAAGGTAGTGACTTAAATGTATAGGTATGGAAATAAACGAAATGAAAATGAAATGTTACAGTTCTACATGTACAATTAAAGATATTCTGAAAATTTGAGTGAAAACAGACCATTATTAATGATACAAATTGGGAAAAACTGATCTGATCGATTCCTTAATTCTCTCAACTACATGTACATTATTAAAATTTAATTCCATTTTAGGTGAATGTAAATTGTCACAGGGCAATAAATTGGCTCTTCATACCGTTTCAGACATTTAAGCATTTAATAGCCTGTTTTATGTCTTTTTTTCATAAAGAATGGTTGGGAAAATTCAAAAATGGTTGGGAGAATTTGCTGTTAATCACTATTAGAGGGTGTTGCACAGTGACGCCTTTAAAGAAAACCATAGATATCTTTGTGGTTTGAGTATTTTGTCAGGACTTTTTGCATCTCGGAGGGTTAGTACAGTAGAAGGAATATAATAAGTAACATTTTATACAAGTTTTCATCAACCTTCAAGAATGTTACCGAGTCACTTTAAGGAAAACGGATTGTACCTCAATGTTAAGAAGACAAAGATCATGATATATGTGGAGGAAAGAATGACCATCATACATGTACATGTATTCAGGCTGATGGAGGGGACATTAAAGTAGTCAACACTTGTACATATACCTGGAGGGCATTTCACAAAACCTTTTTTCAATGACAAATGACAAATATCATTGACAAATCTGCTGACAACAAATCAGAAGCAAAAAACAAAAAACAAAAACTGTCATTTGCCACTGATGACAAGTTTTGTGAAAGGCCTTCCTGGGCTCTCTGATGGTGGGATGGTGGTGGAAGCTCTGGTGGACGCCTCTCGGGGCTTAAATTAATTCAAGGCCATGGCCGTGGATGCCCCTTTGATTGGCCTCGGCCGTGGATGCCCCTTTGATTGGCCTCAATGCCCCTCTCATTGGCCTTGGAGATTTTGTGTGCCCTTTCCAATTCTTCCAATTTGTGCTGTAATATAGGAATGTGCCCTACAGAAAAGTGGCCTTGCCCTAAAAATATTGAAATTTAAGGCCTGGTCTCGCATGGCTACATCATCTCCCACAAGCCTTACTGACATCTGGGAAGACAGAGGGATCTCTCAAGGAACACTAAGATTCATATGATGAATGCTTTGGTCTTTCCAATCCCTACATAAATGGGTCAGAGACGTGGGCTCTTGGAGCAGCACATGAAAAGAAAATCCACGCTTTCGATTTTTGAAATGTGGTGTTGGAGGGGGATGCTGAGGATATCCTGGAAGGTTCATAAATCAAATGATTTGTCACGAATCAAATTGGAGCGAAGGTCACCCTATGCTAGAAGATAGCAGGGAAAAAAATACTTTAAAAAATTGCTTGCATGAAAATAACACTCTTTAATTTGTTTTGCATTGAACTCTATGCAAATTTTTTGTGGGCTTTTTTATGACTTTCGGAGGCTCTTTTTAGCATTTCGGGGGCTAAATTGCTTCGAGCCCCCATGAATTTTTTTCACTGGAAGATAGATAAGAACAAGTTGCAATGTTTTGGACACATTTCTAGGAGTGAAGGTCAGGAAGGTAACATCCTGGAGATGATCATTACCGAAGGTCATTACCCAAGGTCATTACCCAAGGTCATTACCCAAGATTATGTTGAGGGTCAACGAAAACATGATAGGCTAAAAGTTTGATGGGCTGACGGAATAAAAGAGATTACTGGCATGAACATCTGCAAAGCTAATCGCTATGCCCAGGATAGAAACTTGTGGTTGGAACGTCATCATCAATAGGGTCACAAAGGGTCAGTCATGACTGGTAGGACTAGGGTCACAAAGGGTCAGTCATGACTGGTAGGAGGACGACAACATGTAAATTTATGCTCCCTCTGCTTTTAGGAGGGATCAGCAACAAATTAGTGCTTGTTATATTCTGTACATTGTATGCCGATCAACAGAGATCAGTGGATCGTAAAGGAAAGAGATGAGATACAGTAATTGGCGGTGTATAAACCGCCCTCGTGTATTAACCGCACCCCTCTTTTTCGCCCGACTCTGTCGGCAGCAAGTCAGGTCATTAAAAAAACAGTAGAGGACCTAGGATAGAATCTTGTGGTACGCTGTGTAATAGAAGAAAAATTGGAGGAATTACTGTATTATTATATAAACTACATATTGAGATCTATCAGAAAGATTACTTTCAAACCAAGATGATAGACAAATTTGAGTGTTGTTCTAGTTTCCGAGTGGTGAGCCAACCCACCGATTACTGAGCTGGGAGACATTGCCAGGCATAGCGCCAGGTAGAGGGGAATAAATTGAAACTTTTAAAAAAAGTGCGGTTTATACACCGTTAATTACGGTACATGAATTGTAGCCAGAATGCCAGATGCTGTATAACCTGGCACACTTGTGAGTTCAGAGAGGATTAGTATTTGTGAGCAATGTCTGCAAAGCAAAACATATTACAAATATTTTAAGGCAATGCAATATGGGTAATTTTGGTAGATGCCAACCAGTACGATAATAAGAGTGAAATACGGTAATACGATATCACCTCTTACAAAAACAAAAATAGAAACCTTAAAAACTGTGGAATCGCATAGAAACATGTACAAGTAAACCCCCGCAACCCAACAAAAACTTTGCTTTACAAATTTTAATGAAAGAGCAAACATTTTTGATACTTGAATGTACCAGTAAAACATTTTTCTGAAATTTTACTGGCCCGGGCCAATGGACCATTGGTGTCGAGTTTTCGTGAAAATCTGATTTTTCTCCCCCCAATTTTTTTTTAAAGGATACTCAGTCTGTTTTTTTTTTGTCAAGAGGTTGGCATCTCTGGTAGAGTTGGCACATGTACTGTACAGGTGTATATCATTTATTTTGTAATATGTAATGTAGTAATAGTGTAGTACCTATTTGTAAATAATTTATGTACATGTACATGTACATGTATGTGGTAAATTGATGTAGTAAATAATACTGATAGCATGTGTTTCTCTTTTTTCTTTCTCAGGGAACCATCATGGGGAGCCAATGTACAGACTGATTGCCTCACTGAAGGTCAAAGGTCACTCCCTCATCAGGCAAAGGCTTCCTGATATATTCCGGAGTTACCAAGGTTACATTGAAGTTAGACTGATCGACCTCAGTACCAGGATAAACTTGGGCCCAAATACTTGCCATTCTGAACTGGGATTGTAATGTCTTTATCAAGGCAAGATGCCATTTTTATACAGAATTACATGAACATGTAAATCAGTTTGAAATGTACATTACATAGGGGTAGCGTGTGTCACCTATGATTTTCTTCAGATTTTTCTTTTTTCATCGTTTATATCCAAAAGGTTTTTATAAAAATTGCTTTATATTGTGACAATTCCATTATGCGTGTTACATGAAACTAATATTTATATCATATTGGAAACAAAGTTTTGCACCGTAGTGAAATTGAATTCAGAATATATGGAGTGATATCTCTGAGCTTGGAAGGTGCTAAACTCAAATTGGATCCTCATTTGGAATATTATTAACTTTATTCTCTGGGATTTGTGAAAGAGAAAGTAGACATGATGTGTGATGTCATGCCAACAATATCGGAGGATGGCGTAAGTTTGCGGGACTCCACGCTCGGTGACGACGCAAACTTTGAGCAGTTGATGGTAAACATGCTCGAGGAACGCGATCGTTTGATGGAAACGCTTCGTGAGACGCAGGACTCATTAGCAATCACTGAGCAACGCGTAGACGAAGTAGAGAAGGAACGTGATCTGCTACAGAAACAGATGTCCTCTAATCTACCCCGTGTAAGTATATCGATTCAATATCTTCAGAAAACAATTTTTAAAAGCCCCCCCCCCCCCCTCCACTGATTTGCTGACTTCCTTTTCCCTTTTGGAAAATTCCATTTCTCTGCAATACTTACAGAAATATGATTAAATCTGTTTGCCTTGTGGAGATTGTACGTACATGTAGTGATTAGTGCATTATTACTAGAAAATAACACCCATAAACATAAACATGTAGATATTGCCTGTGTTTATGCGTTCTGGTTCATATGAGTCAAAAAGAGAGTTGTGATTCTGTGGAAGTTAGTGTATGGAGGATTCAATTTTGTATGTGTGTCGCATTATCCCAGCCTGAATACGATTGGATATTAAAGAGAGTGTGTCATGACGAGACCACATTGTATGTGTCTTTCCCGTGGGCCTACTTGGGGCCAATCCGGTATAATATGACTACGGATGACCGAACTGCAGCATTCACGTGCGTGCAACATACGCAAAACCGAAGCGCGAGGAGAAGTTCGGTCTATTTCGTGAATGCTATCGCGCGTTGGCCCAGTTAATCAAGTCTAATCGTTTATGTGCAGTTGTCCAAAAGAAAATGTACTGTACAGTAGATGACATTAACCAGTATTTCCCATGATACACTCCCTTTAAAGATTAACAAGTTTCAGTTTTGTGACCGAGTCTCTAGTATGTGTGGGTGTGTATACAATGCTAAACTTGATTCTTCACAGACTTTATAATATCTTAGCAGCGCTAATCTTTTACTCCATTGTTCACATTCATGGTGTTCATGACTGACATGTTTTGTTTCTTAGCAGCCCCTTTCTTCAAAGCTCATCCTTGGACTGAGTTGATGTAGCTAAATGGGCCGTGCAACCAAACTAGAATACATTGCTCTTAAAACGAAAAGTCATGAACATGTAGACTGTAGCATGAATACATTGTTCTGAATGTTAATCAGCTTTAGGTCACTGGAATTGAATAGAAGTCTCTTCAAGTCAGGAAACTCGGGATTATTAAACTTGATCTTCTTGGGTCATCTTTCATTTAGTTTGTTTTATAGCAGTTCACTTTAAGTGCGAGAGAAGGGAACCTCTGTACAGTACTTGTAATTAAAAAAACATTTTCTGTGGTGAGGGGAGAAGAAAAAAACAAAAATATTCAAACCGATTCATTCAATGAATTCCAGCTACCTGAGTGTAGATGTACTGTACAGTACATGTACCAGTAGTCATCTCAGCTGTACTGTAGCCCCCCCTCCCCCTTCCCCCTGTAGCGTACACACGTATAGATCTAGATACAAAAGAAGTGTGGTTAAGCTGGACTGTACATGTACAATGTAGGTGCTTCGGGTTCGTCTTGATGAATGAGAGGTGACAGGTTAGTGTATACTGTTTTGTTTATGTTTTAAACTGAGATGAGAGATTGAGGTCATCTGTGACAGTTATAAAAACAACCTGATTAATGGTTATTATATCTGGCACAGCCTGTACAACATGTAGGGCATTGTAAACCCGAAAGTGTAAAGGGTATGGTGGTCAGGTCTTGTATATTTTACTGGTTTGAGATGATCCATTTTTTAAGCCAGACATTTCGTTTAGAATATTTTTTTCAATTATTTAATGATAATTAATTGTTTTGATAATTATACAAATAATACACAGCTCAGTAAGAGCATTGGTAAGAAATTACCCACACAACTTTGGAACAGTCTAACGTTTGGACTGTCTTGAAGGTACCCAGTGTGGGTAATTTTACTGATTCCCGAATAAAATTATGTGTATTATTTGTTTTAAAAGATTATGTTTTATTTGTTTTATAAAATGATAATAATAATAATAATAATTGATTCTTATTGAGCGCTACTACAGACAAGCTGATCAGAGCGCTCTACAACAGAAAAGAAACATACAAATCATATCAGTTAAACAAGGAACAGTAATTAAGATATTATGAACGAAAAGAAAATTTAGCTACTCAAAAAGTACATTATGGATTCAAGATGGAAAGAGTTGGGTTTATTTGTTTTATTTGTTTTGTAAAACGATGTTTTATAACATGATTTTACTAATTGCCGGTCATTAGCATTTGATAATGACCGGTTATTATCAAAATTATGTGTTAGGCAAAATAAATGCCTGGTCACATGTACGCTCTCGACCAATCATTTGATTAGGATCCAAGTCATCATCTTATAAAAGATTCTACCATAGTATCAGTGAGCATTTTATGGAAGTCTTAAATACCACCAAACTGTAGTTTACACTGTGTTTTAAAGGATTGTGCCTGTAAACAATGCCCCTGTTTAAAATTTTGTTTGAAGGATTTGAGTCATTGGACTTAACTTGTTAGGGTTCTTTTTAGGTGAACCCCGAGAATATACAGTATTGTTATAAAGCCCAGCAGTAAAATAACTCCCTTCTATACTGTACATTGTAGCTGAAACAGGAAACTGGAGTACTTACGGTAGATTTCTTCTGGTTATGGAGACCATTGAGTTGTGCTTTGATAAAGACCTCGATGATATTAAAGAGAATAGGAAAGCAGGCTTCTAAACCACTTGATATGAATCTATCTCACACTCACACACAATCTATCATGATTAAACCAAGTTGTCAGGCAGCCAGTCAGCCAGCCATTCAGTCTGTTAGTACAGATAGAACATGTACAGTACGCATACATTGTACATTGATTGTATAATTAAAACTCAGTTACAGCATACAGTGTACATTGTACATTGTACATGTACAGTATTTGCCGGCGTAAAGGCCGCACCGCCGTATAGGCCGCACCCCCAACTTTGACATTTCGTAGAGGAAAAAAAAAAAAAACTAAAAAAAAAAAAAAAAGAGAGAGAAAAAAAAAACTAAAAAAAAAATTATCGTAATTTTCTTGTAGAACACTCTTTTTTTTTTACAAACTATACCAAATTCATCAATATTCTTATAAATCAACAAGAAGTTAACCTCAAAAATGATCATAATTTAGCAGATCTTCATCGACTTTTAAGCTACATGTAGTACTGTATTGTACGCAGATTTGGTATCCTACAATACCCCTACCTCGATGTGCGGTGTAATCCGAAATAGCGTTTTTCGACCTGCGCAGTTGCGTTGCGCGGCAGCTAGCTTGTAAATTCCTGTAAAGTCCTGTAAATTCAGAGGATTTTGAGTGCACTTCACATGTGCATAATTATTGCATTGAAGAATTTGTTTATTAGATCAAGTCTTGGAGTGAAATCATTGAATCACATTTGAGGTAAAGCACTATACATGTACATGTAGGTTCTGTTTGAAGCTCATATTTAGATACATGTACATGAAACCCTTAACTCAGGGATTAATACACTGTAAAGGTCTGTGTTTAATGAGGCATATTTCAAGATGGTATTCTCATCTTTTGAATCTTATTTGGAAGTTGAACTTTGAAAGTGATACACTGAATGTGGCATGTAATAAATCATCTTGTCTGCTAGGTGAGAGCAAGAAGGATTTTCATTCCTATGATTTAACACAGAGTTAATGTCATTCTAGCTCTCAATTGGTTCACTAAGTACCAAGCTCTACTGTGACATCACACTGAGTCTATTGGAGTATTTGGTTTGGTTAATATCCTTAGGCCAATGTCTCTTGTGTTCTCAAGGGATTGGGTGTATGACGTCATACAGAGGCTATATCAAGCCACTTTGCATTCTAAATAGGGGAACAGTGCAGAGAAAGGGGTTGGTGAGAAGAGAGAGAGAGAGGGAGGGAGAGAGAGAGAGAGAGAGAGAGAGAGAGAAAGAGAAAGAGAGAAAGTGTGTAGTGTAGTGTGAGGATGGTAAAGGAAGAGTAGAAGAAAGAAAAGAGAAGAGTACATGTAGGCTTTTTTAATTTAAAAAAGAGGATGGCAGCTGTACATGTACTCTGTGTACAGTGTAAATGGTGGTTTAAATTTGAAATGGGTGATGATCAAATAGTATTGTAAGTATATACATGTACACAGTTAACAAGTGATTTTAATAGGACTACTGTATGTACATACCCAATTGTAAAATGTAACTTTGATGTCTTTTGTGTTGCTTCTAACTCAAGAATGAAAGGTGGATTGGTGAATTAGAGTCTTTGTTGAGTAGATGTAGGCTTTAATGTGTAACATTCTCAAGAAACATACATCGGGACAAATCCATTTTTCACATGCTTAGAAAAATTACATAATTTGGAAAGAATTTGAATGATTTAGTTCAACATGTAAACTGTATACAAAATAAAGAATAATACTGTGAACAGATGGTCTACACTACGTGTATATACACTAGAGAAACGGTACACCATCGGCTTGATGAGGAAGCAGTTTTTTTATCAACAGAGTTGTGGATTTGTGGAACAGTCTTCCTGAATATGTTATCACAGCAACTTCTGTAAACTGTCCAAGGAATAGAATAGATAAATACTAAAAAACTTGATTTTGTAAGAGCCTGTACAGTATACATTGTAGAGTGTACAGTATGTAAGCTGTACAGCTGATATTGCAAGTTTGCTCACACTTGTGCCCTTTCCCACTTTATTTAATTAATTCATTAGAAAAGACAAGAATAACCACTGAAGAAGACATGTACGATCAATGAACAGGCATTTCTATTAGGTTTATGGTCCTATATAGAATCGCTGGATTAATGTTAAGTAAAAGTTGAGATTCCAGAGAGGGTGGGAGAGAAAATAAGTTGTGAGTTAGAGGAAGAGAGAGAGAGAGAGAGAGAGAGGAAGAGGAGAAAGAACAAATATAAAGGGAGGTTTATGTGTACAAATGACTATGAAAAAGGAGCACAGGTTCTTTAATCTGATGTACATGTACACAGCCTTGTGTAGAATTTCTATCCTATTTTGAATCTTGGTAAAAGGCATTCACTCTGCCTAAAATCATGTGTACATGTACAATGTAGGAATATGAGCTTTGGGACAAACTACCTTCAAACTGTCAGACTCTCAACCAGTTCAAAAATTGTCTTGAGACACATTTATTCAAAATTGCTTTTGACTTTCTATTGAGATGAGATGTTCATGTGAGTTTGATTATGTTTCTCACAATGTTTTTACCACTTGATCTCTTTGACTCAGAAACACAACATCATGGTACTGTAGCTTGCGTACATTACAGTACGTACATGTAGGCCTATATGAACATGTACATGTAGTATGTACAATGTAAAGGAATTAACACTTCCTTCTTACTGTTACATGTACGCCAAGACACAATTGACCAAAAAGTACAACAACAAAAATGGTTTAATTTTTAGTTACATTGTGTAGGAGAAAAAGAAAATGCAGGGAGGAAATTTATTATAACCAAGATTTCCCTTCCTCAAATGTAGCTTTAATTATCAAATGTGCAGTGTACATGTAGTATTTAGAATACAATAAAACATGTTTATCTTTGCAAGAATTTGTGTGTAATTTCTCTAATCATAATGCAATAATGATTTCATGTATTTCCTGGTATGCCTACATGCATGTACATGTAGGTTGTACCTTTTTATCCTAATACGTTACATTGGCGAGTCCACAGGATATCAATGTATCTTACTATCAACACTATTGCAGGACATTGTTCATTGAACTGTACACAATGATGGTACAGTGTACCGTAGTATAAAAGGAAAGCAATTGATAATACACTCAGGCCCTAGAAATCCAATGCATTAGAGACTGCAACCTTATAAATGAATGAGAGACTTTGCGTGCATGCTTAGAATACATTCTATGTATTGTAGGTTATACCATGGTTATTCGCATGTTCCCTATACATGTACATGTAGGCACAGGGGTTATTTACATTTACAGTATTCTCTGCTCTCAGTTCATAGGAGGCTTTCACACTAATCCATAGCTCAGATTTGAATAGTTATCCTTCTTCTCACCTGGCTTCAAATGCATCCATGGTCTTGCTCCTCCTACTGTATTGTACACTGTATCAACGTGTACAGTGTATCTAGGGTGCGTTCAAGCAATTTTTGTCTCGCCTGCGTAGCAAAAAGCTTTTCTGGTGATGGTGACAGTGACGGCGGAGGCGTCAACATCAAAAAACATTACCTAAGTTCAATATTCAATGAAATTTGGACTAAAGGGGTATCAAGTATCCCAAATCATGTGAGGAGAAGATAGAATCACAAACATGAATCACA